TCGGACATGGTCGGACATCCAACATCCTACATCTTAGATATATGCCATATTGGAGATGAAAAAAGGACTTAAAGAAGCGGAAAATACCCTGTAGGCAAAGAATAATCAGAAATAATTAAAATTTAAGAGAAAAGAGTTTATTTTATGAAAGGAACAGAAGAAAAATTAAAGGGAATTATTTTTAGGGGCAAAAAATGTTTATTTTTGGTAATTTTGTGGTTAATATTTGAAGATCCATTGAATTTTTAGAAATATTTTAATGTAGGCAACCAAAATGACTTTTAAAAAATGGCTGGTTATTGTTTCGGCTAAATTTTAAGCGAAAACATTTATTTTTGACCATTTTTGGTAAATTTTTGAAAAATTTATGTTTTTTCTTGGAAAATATCTCCAAAAATATTTTATTTCAAAGGTAAATTAATGTTCTATAATATCTCGATAAAAATTCGAAGAAAAAAATTATTGTAGGCAACCAAAACGTCATTTTTTCAAATTTTTATTTTCTATGACGGGTTATACTTTATGCCCAGTGTATCCCTATAATTCCTCCACGAATTGAAATGAGAGGCAATACGGATTGACCGACAATATACATATCGAGCACATGTCAGGGAAATAAATAATGCCAATATGGTTCCCGGTTCCGGATGCTGCATAGGCATAACTGCGTGGAAATCTTGCGATCACGTACGCGGCACACCTCCGACACGACCCGCCGCCGAGAATATCGGAGGCAAATGTCGAAACAACCCCAGCTCATGCTGCTCATGCTCGTCATCTGTCGTCATCGATGTTGAGTGCGCATCATTCTATCAGAGTTCGCCGCTAGTTGCACCCGCTTCCATCCGAAGAAGAAAACTCGCTCGTTTCGCATGCATGGCGAATCGCTCGGTTATAAAGCCATTCGCTTCTTGTTACTGTGCTCTCGCGCGCGCGCTACGCTTTATCACAGTTCGTTTGCCGGTACGTATTTTATTTTTACCGCAACATCACGCACCCTCATTCGCATGCAAAGTGCTGCGCGAATCGACGTGCGAACAAATTGCAGGCGTGGGTGAATTTTTCGACCGCAACGATCAATAAACAAAAGGTGTTTATTTATTTCTTGTTAAACATTATTGCAGTATTATTATTATTAACTTTTACTCGTAATTTCGCTCGCGATGTGAATTTTTTTACAATTTTTTAAATGTTTTAACGCAATTGTTGCTTTAATTGATAAATTAATAGGTTTTAAAAGTAGCCTATGTTATTCTCCTATGTCTAAACTATCTCTATACCAAAATTTATCAAAATTTACCGAGTGGTTTTTATGTGATTGCGTCACAAACATTTACATTTATAATATTAGACGAAATCAATTGCCGTGGTGATAAGTCGAAGTATTTTTTACCATCGTCTTCGAAATCCCGGGGTCCCTTTTATTAAGTTTATAAAATTAAGTGGGATTGCGGATATCCCGGCAGATTACGTGCGCAGCGTGTCTCACCACAATCAGTGTTTATAACTTCATAAAACACAAGGATGCGCCGCACATTTCCGGGCTGATTGAGCCGGCAAACATCAAAGCATCGTCGCGAAGGGCGACGAATCGAGACGACGGCCATATCCGCTGATTGAAGGTGAAACCGGGCGCGATTTCACGAGGGTTGCGTGTTTCGTGTTTGGGGTGCGCGCACTCCTCGGATTGCTGCAATTTACTTGTAGGTTATATTTTGAAGTTATTCGCGATTTTCGAACGCGTTTTCCGGTAATTGAAAATCAATTTGGCTCACTTTACGACTCGATTACAACCCACCTGTGTGCGGAACACAAAAAGGGACGGCAAAAGCCATCGGTGTTTTACATAAATTGCAACTAATCACGTATGATAGCACTGTGGGTTGCCTATGTTAAATTCAAATTACGCCATTGTTTGAATTGCGCTTCATTTGTTTTCTTTTATTTATTTTCGGTATGCGCACGTTTGTCACGTTTGTCTCATGTGTGTGACTTAGATTTTATGAAGGTAATTCATATTTATCGTTTTGAAATGTGTAAGCGCCAAACAAACAGTCGTAAATACTGTCCTCCACTCGCGGCGCCTGCTAAATATTTGCATGTGGTCAAGCAAGTTTGGTCAAGTGCCTGGGGTGCGAGGCAATAAAACGCATAAAACGCTTGCTATCGCTTCCGGCCACCGCACGACACCTCAACTCATAAACACAACCAGCGTTTATCTTTGAATTAAATTTAAATTTCCATCCGAAACCGTTTAGAATAGATCATGTTTGAGGTTAGGTTTCAGTACGCTATACTCATCATAGGCATTTTGATTGGAGTAGTATCGAGCGCTTCGAGATGCGAGTCAACAAATTAAGATTCATAAGTTTTTTGCGCGAGAACGGGTTGAGTTTCATCCAGAACACGAAAATACATAATGGAAAAGGGTGAATGAAGGCCCCTGAAGGGTGACTGACGTCGAGGCTGTTATAGAAAGTGCATCGATGTTTGCCGAGTGCAAAGAACGCCCGCATACGAGTATCATGAATGAGCAATGTCAATTTATGCATATTAATGAATTTCAATCTGCATACACACGTCACAAATGCAGAAAATGTAAAATTTTGTAAAACTTAACCAATCTTTATTAAAAAAAATTAGATAGGCAACCTTTTTGACGTTATTTTGGTTGCATACATTGCTAATCCAATGGTAAAGTAGATATTTTTATAATTTTGTCTTTAAAAAATATTATTTTAAGACGTTTTATGTCGGTGTGGTAAAAATTTCCTGCGAGAATATCGAGTGTACGCCCTGGACGAAGGACGAAGGCCGCGAAAGTGCCGCGCAAGCATATTTTAGAAATCTATAAAAGGTCTCGGGCTGCTCGGGCGTCTTTTTGCACTCGCTGAGCGTGTGCCAGGAGCGCGACCCGAACCAATAGCGAAAATGAACGGACCGGACGAAATTTTTATTAGTTTTCGATCAAAATCCAGCGAAGAATTCAATATGAGACCCGGAGTAACCTTAAAAACAAATAAAAACACAGCTCGTGGCTTGCGTAAATAATTATTTGCATATTTTGTATATAAAATGTGTTCAACGCAGTTTAAATAAATTATTGCGAACAAATGAATAATGCGAGTGCAAACCAAACATTTTAGGTGGGATTTCGGGTGGGAAATCTGCAAAATACGAAGGGTTTTTGCTTTGTTTGTGGAAAACCGGCGAAGATTTTTGCGTTGTTTTGCATTATTTTGGTGGAAACTCGCCGAAATTTATCTGTTGCGCACATTTTACTGTTTAATTAATTAGCAAATATAGAAATAGTCGATGGGTGGATAATACTAATTAGATGATGTTTACAGAACAACAAATTGCGATGCAGAAAAAAAATTAAATACAGGGTGGGGTTTTTAAAACAACATTTAAGAACAGACATTCAGATTCACTTCAAAGATTTTTTGGCATTTTTGGAAGGATTTTAATCCGTTTTGACGAAAAAATCTATAAAATATCAAGAAAAACATGATTTTCTTGCGCAAATTTCAGTTTTTGTGCTAAATTAACGGGATCTTTGAAGAAAACGATGAAAATTTGATTTTTTTCGTTAATTTCTTGTAGTTAAAAAAACTTTTATCAAGTTTTATAGAGAATTTTACGTTAAACCGAATATTAGTTTACGCCCGAGTGCACAAAATGTACTCTTGTACTTAACACTGATATCATCCACATGTAATAACAATATAATAAGCGGTAACAATGAGTAATAAAACGCATTACGAGTGTAGTACGCAAATGGTATTATGACGAGAAAGTGCTTATTAAATTATGTCATTGAGTAATTGCAACATGTGTCGCGCACACATCGCCGGAGCTCCGGAGCGCCCGGAGCTAATTAATCGCGAGTGCGTTGCGTCTTCGCGAGCGTTGCGCCATTTTCACTTTTAAACAAGCCGTGCACACTGCACATATATGTCAACTACGTCATGTAACAATCCGACAACCCGGAAAAAGCGGAAGCTAAAGCGCTAGATATAAATCATTATTTTATCTTTGAAATAAAATAAAACAAAATAAAAATTTTAATAGAAAAAAGTGAGATACACACTGTATATATAAAGTAATATTTTCTACTGCTACAAAGCGTTATGGCGCTAACAAATAAGTATAAAGAGCAGCTCGTATCGTTATCAGTAAATTTAAATTCTCGCGTCTTTGAATTGCTTGGCTGGTTGGAAGTTGGGTGCCAGCGGAGGCGCGTCGCGACGCCGCACGCCAAGCGGCTTATGAATTATTCATAAATTTAAACAACTATCCAATTTCACATTTCACATAACATTTGCCACGCTCGATGCTTTTGCCGATTGGAATAATTCACTCGAGTGGCACATAAAATGAACATTCAAAGATGACAAAGGAGTTTTTTAGTTTTATTTTTTTTAATTATGAACAAACGCTTTTAAAATATAAATTTTTTGTTTTACTATCTTATAGTCTATAATTTAATCTTCATTTTAAAAGAAAAATCACTTAGAAATCTTTATTAGTTTAAAAGTTATAAACAATTAAGTTTTTAAATTAAAAATTTCTCAAAATTTTTACATTTTTGATAATATCAGGAGAAATAAGTCACTTAGAAAGTTTTTTGAAAGTAAATTATATTCTTTAACAAATTTCCTATAAAATTTCACTTTAATAAAATTTTTCCGACTTAAAATAAGCAAGTTATAACCAATCAAACATAAACGAACGAAATCCAACCAAAATTCCACTCTCAACGCGTACAAATTAATTAATAATCAAGTCTAGCCGAATTTGCGGGGTAGATACAACCCCCTGTCCTTGTCCTTGCCTGAGAGGACCAACTATTAATCACTTTACGACGCGCATAGAAAGGGGAGTCGTCGGAGTACTCTGCTGACGCGCAACTTAATCTCCAAACACTTGTCGGCTTAATATACTCCACCAACTAAAGACCCCTAAAGTCTTTAGAATATTTGATAAAATATTCAATGTATGTGTAAAAGAATTTTATTTCCTTGCATACACACATAGAGTCATCATCATCAAGTATAACAAAATCAAAAAAATATTTATGACAAAAAACAAACAGCGCCGTTGTAAACGTTTAAAAGATAAACTTAACAATCATTAATACATGCCCTCGATACAAATGAAACAGTTCCAGAAGACGTTCCTTCACAATCACAATAAATAGTTATGGGATTCAGGGCGGTGCACACCTACCACTTCTTCTCCTCCTCGTGATGGACGGGCACGTGGACTGGGACGTGCACGTGCACGGGGACGGGTTTCTCGACGGTGTACGGCACATGCTTGGTCACCTCATAGGGCACCGGGTTGTCATAGGGTACCTTGACTGGGTAAGGTACTGGTTTCTCCACGGGGTATTTGACTTCCTTGTACACCGGGTAGGGTTGTGGAACAGGGACCTTTACTGGCACCGGGTAGGGTTTCTCTACGTTGTATGGTACAGGGTGGTCCACTTTAACCTCAACTGGGTATGGTACGTATTTATCATAGGGGACTGGTACCTTCTTCTCAACGTGCACCGGGTATGGTTTGTCGACGTATTTGGGTACTGGTTTGTCCACGTAGACTTTCACTTCAACTGGGACGTTCTTGTAGACTGGGTAGGGTTTCGGAATGTGGACTGGGACCTTCACTGGTACAGGGATTTTCTTCTCCACGGGGTAAGGTGCTGGTACGTGGACCTTTACGGGTACATGGACGATCTTTTCGACTGGGTATGGTTTATCTACGTAGACCTTGACTGGGTAGGGTTTGTCGACGTAGACCTTCACTGGCACCGGTACGGTTTTCTCCACTGGGTAGGGTTTTGGAATGGGGACACCCACCTTGACGGGGACCTTCACTGGTACAGGTACCTTTTTCTCCACGGGGTATGGTGCTGGTACGTGGACCTTGACTGGTACAGGAATGTGTTTCTCCACTGGTACTGGAATGTGTTTGGTTACCGGGTAGGGTTCGGGGATGCCTTTGATGTAAGTGATGGTTTTCTCCACTGAGGTGTGGTGACCCAGGTCGATGTGGCCGTGATGCCCACCGTCACCTGGGCTGTATCCATGGTCGACATCGCGGCCGTAGCCGTAGCCCACGTCGAGTAACCCGCGTTTGGTGTGCTTCTTCTCGTCAGCTGCCTTCTTCTCCTCGGCGACTGTACTGGTAAGCGCCAAGAGGACTAAGAAGGCTACACGATTCTAATAATAAAAAAACAAACTAATTATTGATGTATATTTGGGTAATGATGGTGACTTACGAAAGGCTTCATAGTGATAAACTTAATACTATGAATTCCTAACAAGTGCTGCTGGTGAACTGCTTGCTGCTTCCTTGCAGAATTCGGTATTTATACCCGTCGCCATCCACCACTACCGTCACAACCGACGGTTTTGACTTCTTCGCGGATGGTAGACGGTCGACACTCGCCGAAACACTTAATTATATCATGGCGCGTATTATTCAACGTGTGCGGCTTGCTGCGCGATTTAATTAAAGAATACAGTGCTCACTTTTCGGCGGTTTATTAATTGCGGTTTTCTAATTTTAATCTAATTTGAGCAACAATTGCTGGAAATCATACAGGAACTCTCAAAAAAAACAAAACAAAACAACAAATAAATTTTATTTTTAAAATATAGGCAACTAAATTAGAAAAAATGAAATGTGTATAACGGGTTGCATATTTTTTTATGGGAAAGTCATGTAAATTGCATCAAATCAGTTTCCATTTTGATTTCTTGCAACACTTTGTGTTGAGTCGACATCGTGTGTGCATCTGACTGCGACTAATTCCACTTGTGCTCGCGAAACATTGTACTCTACTTACCAAAACGGACGTAAAACATACACGAAATTAGAAATCTACTTATCCAGATGTCAAATGTCAAATTACCGTACTGTCAAAAGATTTACTTCTAAGTGAATCATTAGCAGAAATTTTTAATAAATTAGAAAGAAATTTGGATGAATTACCTAAGTTATAAATTAAAACTTAAATTTTCGACTTTCATCCGCACATTACGTGCATATCCGCTGCATAATCACATGTTATACAAAGTGTTCTTTAGTATATTTACCAAAACCAGCAATTAAGCAACAAATTAATGCGTTTCCATCGTTATTTAATCGCACTTTGTATACGAATTGATTTAATTCGAATATGTGATCATGTGCGGAACAAATGCCTTCAAATTTATTCCATAATAGAAAAATGTATGCCAAAAAAAGCACTCAATCGACTTGATTGTGAATGTGGAACGTAATGTATGAATTAACGACTCATGTAACTCGTAAAAATCGTAATTCGAGTCAGTGGTTTTAATCAAATTCGGAAAAAAAACACATTCACGCACACAAACTTTAGTTTTGAATTAATTTCCAGGCCTTATGAGGATTTTTTGCGTTAACTGCTGGTTTTTATTTACTACGAGCTTTTGTTTCCGACTAAACACATGTACCTCGTGTATCTTGCGTCCAGCGTCACAATAATTAATTTTTCTTCAACACGTCGCGTGTAAAACGAGTTAAAAATAAGTGTCGAGCGATAAAATAACGCAATCATAGTTTGTGGTTTTGTGATAGCGAAAAAAACGGCCCAAAAGGCGCACACATCCGTTGTGTATTTGATATTGCAAAGGAAATACAATGGTAATTAAAAGCGCTGGTCAATTGACCAAATGCGTATGTACATGCGCACAGGATAGTCGTAATAAACCATCTTAACAAATGAGTGCGTTCGCGTGGAATAAACAAAGTGTTTAGTGAAGAAAGAAACTGCACTGCGGTGATTGTTGAGAGATTTTCGAATATACAGTATGTTCCGACGAACGTATTATGTGCAGCGCGCGGAGAGACGCAATGAGGGTGAGCAAGTGATGCGCGACACGTCGTTCTCGTCGTTCATGTGCATCCTGTTCATCTTTGTGCTCTTCACATGTCTCATCGTCATCGCCGCCAACTGGCGGAGTCTTTTTCTCGTCGAGGATGTAAGTAAACACCGTTTATTACCGATTACATCATGTTTATTAAATGATAATTAGGAGATTAATTAAAGTGTCAGTAGAGAGGAAATTTATGCACGAAAATTTTATGATTCCGGAACTAAACGTGATGTATTTTTAAAGGAAATTGAGTATTTTAACGCGGAGAATGACAGAGGAAGATTCGAGACAATGCAGGTTGAAAACAAGACGAGGAATAATCAGTATGTTGAGGAAACAACGATGAAAACAACTGAAAATGATAGTTTTAGAGGTTTTACTACTGCTTCATTAATATCTACAGAGATTACGAGTCAAACTCCTTCAGAATTTTCTTCTAAAGAAGAAGAAACGGAAGCTTCTGAAGGTGTCACTGAAATAATCAGTCTATTATCTTCAAAATCAACTGAAATATTTGATGAAACAGAAACAACTGAATCTTCTACTTTTGATAATACAAAATCAACTGATAGTGAGACATTATCAACAACTTACGATTGGTTTTTGAGGCCTAATACAAAAGATACAACAAATTATGATAATACTCCTACTGCGGTTAGTGATGGGTCTTCCGATGAGGAAATCACAAAAACCAGCGATTGGAAACGAGATGCAACGATTTCCACGTCGGATTTAATTGATTTAGATACGACTGAAACAGAGAATTTTGTGTATGGTTTAGCTTCGTTGTTTACGGGACGCACAACGCCATTTTGGACAATTTATAGTAAACAGGATACAGGGGCATCAGAAACAACTGAAACAACTGAAATTTCAACGATAACAACCGAAAATACTTCAGAATCTGAAACATCTGAAATATTTACGATTACTTCTGAAAATACTTCAGAATCTGAAACAACCAGTGACGAGATCATAAGTGAGGTTATGGATACATCTGAAAACACTGAAACATCTTCTGAAACTACTGAAACAATTAATTTTCAAACAGTTACTATTACTGTAAGACCTGAAACGCAATACAACGAAAAGTTAAAATTGAAAAAACCAAGACCTGCGTATGATTCAGGTAAAGATCGAGTTTATTACGATGTGACTACTGAAAAACCATCAACTGAAGCATTATCCACCGAAGAAGCTCCTGGACAACTCATTTATTTTAATATTAACAACGACAATGGATTAAATTCTCCTGAAGAGACTACAATTAATTCTTCTGAAGATATTGACTCTGATGTAATGGAGTTTGACGGTGATATTCAAACAGAATCAATAACATAATTTATAAAAGTTGTGTTTTTTTTTTTGATAGAATATATCACAAAATATTTTTTTAATAAATGTTCCTTTCTTATAAAGTTAAAATATTATGCATATGAATAAATTTTGTTGAAAATTTCGCGTTCTGTGAATGTATCTTTCACATGCGCAACAATTTCGATTATTTTCTATCCAATTCACTTCGGAAGTAGGCGCACAATAGATTTATATTCATCTGGTCTAGATATTTTTAATAGCCGACTGTGACTATGTGCCTACTGACTGCGTCTTGTTACTACTGTTACCGTGCAGTTCATTGGATTCATTATTGCTCGAATTGTCAGTGTTACACACTCCACACACACACCACATACGCGCTCTTCCGGCTTCTCGCAACCTTTCTTTTAATGTCTGGCGTTGCGGTTGCGTAGAAATTCGCTTACTTACTTTAATTTTGTTGATTTTTGTTGATTATGTAACGGCGACATGTGTTCGCAAGCAGTGGGAGCATTGTTTTATCAAATAATTACTCAAAATCATTATAATACAAAAACCAACAAAGATAGAAAGATAAAAAGATAATTTTTAATCATAATGATGGTAAAGTTTAATAAAATTACATAAAATATTTGTATTGTAAGAATTTTGCGTATTTCATGTACATTAGATTGCATAACACGTGAATTATTTAATAATTTGGTTTTAAATTGAAAATAAAAAGGTAAAACCACATGTACACATATTGTGGGCATATATTTATATTAAATATTTCGATTCAATTTGGATTTTACGTCAATACAAATTTTACGTAAAGAAAGTTGTGTTTGCACAAGCACACATTGTATATGAGTGCAATTTATTCTGCAATAGCAGTGCATCCGAGAGGAAAATGTAGGTAACTGACGTGATACACAATGTTTACTTTGATTAAATTACGTCTTTTGACAACAACTTTATCGTCATTACTAGTAGCCAATTGTAATGATCACGCGTTGCTATGGTGATCATAAACAAACACAATTATTACGTCTTTTACTTGCGACTTAAAGAAAAGTTAACAAGTTATAAATTATCACAGATAAAAGGTAAATAATTGAGATAATGAGTTGAATTATTCGGCGCGACTTAACTTATTTTTTGTTTGTTATAATATATAGAGTATTATACGTGCTGACTTTCATTTCCATTCCATTTGTGCGATTGCAGTAAGCGCGGCTTTAATTTATTATATTTGCCAAGTGCAATTTCTCAAAACGTAACAAAAGAAATTGTGAAATTTAGTGAAACATTGAGCCTAATAACGCGCGCGTCCGTTTTGCCGCTTTGTTTTCGACGAATTCGCAACATCACAGCGCGAATGCGAGCATTCACGCCGGGTTTTAATTGCATCTACTTAGTTCCGCAATGAATGAAACGCATTTTTGCTAATTAACGATTCGACAACGGGCGAATTCGTGTTAAAATCATTAAATTATATAGGGACCACCGCAAAACTCTCATGGATTCAAAAAGAAAATTAATTGCAATACAAATTATACAGATTATGGTAAAATAATTAATTAAATGACAAAAATAATTCAATTTTTATTTATATTTTTGATAATATGCGTTGAAGTGGAACATTTGTAATATTTAAGACATAAGATACGGAAAATGTGCGTCCCTTAAATGTAGGCAACCAAATATACTCTAAATATACTTTAATTTACAACAAAAAATATAATTTTGTTATAAATAATTTAACAACGCAATAAAAAATTAATTTGTAATTTAAATTCTTATCAAACATGGCTAATCAAATCTTTGAGGTCAAGTTTAACCATTTAACACGCACTAAAAAGCAAAATTAGCATAACATGAAATAAAACCATGTCATAATGATCTCTAATCATTACCATACACGCACATCGTTATCAATTTCATTCCTAATTGACCAAACAGAGAATTTCATGTAGCAATCCCGCTATCTGGATATTATCAAATTCGTAATTCGTAATCAACATGCATGACATATGACCTAACCTCCTTCGTTTTTAACATTCACATACCCGGTGAACAAGTGAAAACGAAATCCAGAACGCAACAATCACACAAAACAAGCGCTTATCTCTAATGAAACGATAATGCGCAAGTTATAGTCACTGAGATTCGCAATAAACGCTCATTCATCAACATGCTGTGCAGACGTGCGCTGCGTTTCCTCGCTCAGAAACCCAAATCTCATCATTATAATAAGTGCGCACAATTTAATCTTTTACACACAGGTTGTGTACAACAGCGGAGGGGTGAAAATCCTATTCAACGTACGATACGTGTGCTTGCCAATGATATCAAGGATGTCAAAGAGAAGTACATCAATGAAATTGCACCAGCTGAGGCTTTTCCAAATCATGTTGATATTTTAATCATTGGTGGGGCTGCACATGGATCTTCAATCGCATATTGGCTGAAAGAAAAAACTGGGTTGAAAGGGTTGTCTATAGCTGTTGTTGAGAAAGATTCAAGTGTAAGTTATAATATTAAATAATCTTAAATATAATATGAAATTTTATATTATTTGGGTTTCAGTATGCAAAATGTTCAACAGTTTTATCACTTGGTGGTTTGCGACAACAGTTTTCACTCCCAGAAAACATTCAAATGTCAGTATTTGGCGCGGAGTTCATGCGTACATTAAAACAACGTTTCGGTAAAGATGCCGATGTGTTCTTCACACCAAACGGTTATTTAACTGTTGCTAGTGAGAATGGAGCACAGCAATTGTTGGATAATGCTAAGTTACAAAAAGAATTAGGTGCTGTTAATGTTGTTTTAAGTAAAGATGCTTTAAAACAAAGGTACATCATAAATTTCATCTTTATTCACCACAAAATTCAATTTATTTTATTTTTACCAACAGATTTCCATGGATAAACACTGATGACATCTCATTAGCATGCCTAGGACTGGAAAAAGAAGGCTGGTTTGATCCTTGGGCGCTTCTCTGCTTACTAAAACGCGAAGCAGTCCGCATGGGTACGCAATACGTCAACGGCAAAGTTGTCGCATTCAACTTCACCGAACGTGATGACATCTTAATCGAAGGAGCCGAAGGTGTTTACGAAGGCATCAATGAAGTCGTCGTTGAATTACCCAACGGTGAACATCGCCCAATAAAATTCGCCTACTGCGTGATTGCAGCCGGTGGTGATTCAGGAGAAGTCGGTAAACTAGCTCGAATCGGTTCGGGTGAAGGTATGCTCTCCATACCTATACCCGTAGAAAAACGTAAGCGTTACGTGTATTGTTTCGAATGTCAAGGCGACGCTGTGCCCGGTATAAACACGCCTCTTACAATAGATTATACAGGAACCTATTTCAGAAGAGAAGGACTCGGCGGGACATATCTCGCTGGTCTTTCTCCTGAACCACATGAGGAGCCTAGTATAGAAAACCTCGAAGTAGATCATAAGTTTTTCGATGAGCGCGTTTGGCCTGACTTGGCGCATAGGGTGCCTGCGTTTAACGCGGTGAAAGTACGAAATGCATGGGGCGGGTATTACGATCACAATTATTACGACGAGAATGGAATTATTGGCCCACATCCGTACTATCATAATATGTATATTGCGACAGGGTTTAGTGGGCATGGTATTCAGCAAGCGCCTGCTGTTGGGCGAGCGGTTGCTGAGTTGATTGTTGAAGGCGGCTTCCAGACGATTGATTTGACACGGCTTGGGTTTGATAGGTTAATTGTTGATAAACCAATGTTAGAGAATTACATTGTATGATATAATAGGTAATTGGTAAGTGCTGGAGCGTTGAGCAAATAATTTTAGTTACCGTTGCCATCTGTTTTGACTAAAAGCATTATTTATATATTGTGAATAAACGTGTTGAATGTTTATTTACAACCTTATTACGACAAGAGTAATTTTATTAATGCGTAGGAAGGTAAATAGATAAAAAAGTACGCATGTTAGACTATATTGTTACAATTTATCGGTAGAACAAAAAATCTATTCATTTCATAAAAAATCTTCAAGCATTGAGCAAATTGCACCCAAATTCCACAAATAACAAATATTCATAAACAATCCCTGACAATAAATTACAATTTAATTGTGTGACTATGAAAATGACTAAATTATTTGAATTGTGGATTGGGGCCGAATAAGCTATTGCCTTGCTTGCTTGCAGCCCTTGAGGGTGCAAAACCAAGCAGTTTCTGAATGTTTTGTCTGATGGACATTGTGCATAAGATGTAGAGGAAGATGAAGGAACATTCTGTGTAGTCTTCACCAGGCAGGTTCCTGTGGCTCAGGCCTTGAATCCATGAGATTGGTGTGAATGGCAACTGTGCTACAACTCTGCCATCAAAGCTAGAAATAGATTTTTATGTAGATTTCTTTGGTTATTTTTTTTGCTTAAATTTACTTACATGCTGTTGAACATGCTCAATAACGCGGTGAAAGCAAAACCAATTGCAAACATGGACTTCATTTTGACAAATGATAGATCTTTGTTGTTGTTCTTTAGTCTTTCTTCTTCTCTTTCAATCTTTTTCTTGTGTTGTTTGTCTAGTGAATCCCCATGTGCTTCTTTACGTTTTTCAACTGGAAAAATCAAAAGATATAATGTTTATGCGTTTTTTGTGTTATAATGTATGTACATACGACGTTTGCTCTGTTTTTCCACTTCATTCTTCAATTTCTGATACTTTTCTGTTCGATAAACCATTAGCCATGTCAAACCCTCGCCCAGAAGCGCCGTACAAACGGAAATAAAGACTATTAATAACGTATCGGCCCACATTTTACACGATGAATTTAACTTTGGTTTGGGTTTAATTCAATTCAACGTTGTAATTGATAATTGCACGAAATTAAATGTTGTGTTGACTGATTTCGAGGTTCTTACACATCACAGCTATGTAATGACAGATATATAATGACATGTTGCCTACTCCAAGGCTACGAAATTTAAACTTTTGATAAATTACAATAATAGTTGTACATCTGCTAGACTATTGCGGATAATATTCTTATCAAATTCAATAAGTATTAATTGAATTACTAAAGTCATATGACCCAACTGAAATTAAAACAGGGTTTAAAAACTAGAATTTAAACATAAAATTCAAATTATTACTGATAACAGGACAGTTCGATGAATTGCAAACGTTCCAACAAATTTAATTGCTACCACTTGCGATTCTAAACAATTCAGAAAGTATTCTACCTAAAAAGTAATACTATTATTTAATATTTAAGTATGTAATTTGTGCCTTAAATATGATTAAACCTCATTGTGGTAGTAATTTGTTGGCAATTCAAAAACAAACTGCAATATCTTTAAACTTTCTTCATTAATCCATGAAGCATAAAGAAAGACAGCTACTAAATGAATGCAGATTAAAAATCCTTTATAGAAATAGAATAATGTGTCCAGAAATGTTGAATGATCACTAAAATTTACCAAAGGCTTACAATATTAACGCCTATAAATTAATTATAAACAAATACCTTTTGCCTTCGAAGATAAACACTGTTAGAAAGTAAAATCCACCAACTATAACTATAAAAATTAATTCTTGAAGAACATGATTCAACAAATTGCATAAATCCACTAATATTGTATAAATTCTTCGTATTTCTGCAAAAATATCAAGAAATTCAGCTCGTAGAATATGCTTAAGTTTAATTTGTCGATTCAGTTGTTTGATGTGAATATTAAACTGTTGAAAACGTTGCGCCAATACAACACACAGTAGTATCAGGAAAACATTCATAAATTGCCATTGAAAAGTTGAAACGTAGTTTAAATGAATCAAAATCAATGCGACTGGTATTGAAAAATCGATCATTGAGAAAACATCGGGGAAAAAAAATCGAAAAAACTCGATTGTATTGTTTGTTATTGTTGTTTGGTTGCTGTTAATTGTTGCTTCCACCATCAATGCAATATAGATAAAATGTTCGAGTAAACCAGCGATAATGAACCCAATTGTAAGATAATTCAGTGCTGGTTTAGGATTGTACTTGATGTTTTCATCATAGAATATATCATCTAGTTTTGCTTCTAGGGATGTCCACTTTTTTATGAAACAAGGCCATTTGTAAGCTGTGTAGAGGCAAGTGACAAGAGATAATGTTGTTCTTAAATTCCAAGTTAACACAACTAAAAATATGAAGTTAGTAATCCAGTGTCGTAACAAGTGCGTTCGTAATCCATGGGCGTAGCAAGATTATCATCTCACTTGCTACGCCACTGGATTACTAACGTACTTGTTACGCCCTGGATTACGAACGCACTTGCTACGCCACTGGACTACTAACTTACCACAAGCAAAGAAGTTTTTGGCACTGTAGATAGCTTCATAGAACTGAAATATTGTGTAAATTATAAATAAACCAATCAATATCAGAGTGTAGATGGTCTTGTAGTACCACCAGTCGAATTTTACTTCGTTTACATCACGATGCAAACGTAATGGCAGCGTGCCAAATATTTGAGCGACACGAATGTAATTAATAAGCAGGTTATTCAAATTATTTTTCTGTTTTACATTGCGTTTAACACGAGTGTAATTAGGTTCAATTTCAAACATGGCGGGATTATAAATAAGATGTTACGCGCTATGTGTATTGATTTGTAGCGTTACAAGTTGCGTAGTTGCTTTTAAAGGCACAGATTGATTGTAAAAACTGTTTACGGTACACCAGCACATAACAAACATGGGTAAATGTGATTGATTCTTTGATGTAGGGTTGTTAAGTTTGGTACACAAAACCAAACAAACATATAAACAAATTATGCCCTTTTGTGTGCTGATGCATACATGAATATTCAATTATTTATGATAACAATACTGGAAATATTAGTTTATGTATTTTTAAGGATGTTAAAAATGCTTATTGCGATTATTTTGTATGTACATTCGAATGTATTAACTTGTAATGTATGTGTTAATGATATAATAAAGAAATATTATAAGAAATTTTGATCTTTTTTGATTTATGTACCATTTTCTTCTTTTATTCATTTCAGATATAGGTACGAAAGCATGGCATGCTTTATCTTTTTCTCTACGTCATATAATTACTGAAGAATCCTTCTTTGTGTCGAAAGACAGGGTCGCACTTACGTCTTAAATTATTTCGGGTTGAAATCGAAAGTAAAACTTCAAACGTTCATACCTTCTATATAAACAAAAATACGGTATAATGTTGCTAAGATAAAAGAAAGATAATTAAATTCTATATCGACTATTGAAGTAATTATTCTCCTAACATTGACCGCTAGGCCCTATTTACAATTTAAAGAGAAAAATTGGTTTTTACATGCCAAAAGGGCCTTAATCTACAATTGTGTTACCAGTTCCTGATTCAGAATTTAATCTACTTTCAGAATCCGAAATCAGAATTCAAAAATTCCCATTATTACAGAACCTGCATTTGCTGAAATAAAAGATTTCATCATAAAAAAGGCAAAAGATTTCTCTTTTTTATGTATGTTTGTTGTTTTCATTAAAATTGCAAATAGGGCCTTAACGGTTGACGTAAGCAAAAAATGTTACTAAAATAGTCGATGTAGAATTAAATTGTCTATCAGAATCCGAAAACAGAATTTCAAAATTCCAACTTTTAAATTTCGACATAAAAAAGAGAAATCTTTTGCCTTTTTTATGACAAAATCTTTTTCTTAAAAATTTTTTGTGCCATTTTTGCCATTTTTCAATAAGGATGCCATCTTGTTCAGAATTTTTCAAGGATCAAGAATATGTAGTTCTTTTTTTTGTAGCTCTTTTAGTTATCGAGATAATGACTAATTAATCTTCAAAAATTAGATTCGCCCGACGGCATACACGTGTTTCATTAAAATTGCAAATAGGGCCTAAACGGTCAATGGTAGACAAAAATAATACTTAAACAATCGATGTAAAATTAAATTAACTATCGGAATCCGAAAACAGATTTTTAAAATTCCAGTTTTTAATTTTTGACATAAAAAAGAGAAATGTAAACAAAGATTAAATGGTAATTATCTCGACAACTAAAAGAGCTACAAAAAAAAGAACTTCATATTCTTGATCCTTGAAGAATTCTGGACAAGATAGCATGCTTATTGAAAAACGACAAAAATGGCACAAAAAATTTTTAAGAAATAGATTTTGTCATAAAAAAGGCAAAAGATTTCTCTTTTTTATGTCGAATGTTGTTTTCAATAAAAATGTAAATAGGGCCTAAACGGTTAACGTAAGCAAAAAAAGTTACTAAAATAATCGATGTAAAATTAATTAATCTATCAGAATCCGAAAACAGAATTTAAAAATTCCAACTTTTAATTTTCGACATAAAAAAGAGAAATCTTTTGCCTTTTTTATGACAAAATCTTTTTCTTAAAAATTTTTTGTGCCATTTTTGTCATTTTTCAATAAGGATGCCATCTTGTTCAGAATTTTTCAAGGATCAAGAATATGTAGTCCTTTGTTTTCTAGCTCTTTTAGTTATCGAGATAATGACCAATTAATCTTCAAATATTAGACTCACCCGACGGCATACACGTGTTTCATTAAAATTGCAAATAGGGCCTAAACGGTCAATGGTAGACAAAAATAATACTTAAATAATCGATGTAAAATTAAATTAACTATCGGAATCCGAAAACAGATTTTAAAAATTCCAATTTTTAATTTTTGACATAAAAAAGAGAAATGTAATCAAATACTAAATGGTCATTATCTCGACAACTAAAAGAGCTAGAAAACAAAGAATTACATATTCTTGATCCTTGAAGAATTCTGAACAAGATAGCATGGTTATTGAAAAACGACAAAAATGGCACAAAAAATTTTTAAGGAAAAGATTTTGTCATAAAAAAGGCAAAAGATTTCTCTTTTTTATGTCGAAAATTAAAAGTTGGAATTTTTAAATTCTGTTTTCGGATTCTGATAGATTAATTAATTTTACATCGATTATTTTAGTAACTTTTTTTGTTTACGTCAACCGTTAAGGCCATATTTGCAATTTTAATGAAAACAACAAACATACATAAAAAAGAGAAATCTTTTGCCTTTTTTATGATGAAATCTTTTATTTCAGCAAATGCAGGTTCTGTAATAATGGGAATTTTTGAATTCTGATTTCGGATTCTGAAAGTAGATTAAATTCTGAATCAGGAACTGGTAACACAATTGTAGATTAAGGCCCTTTTGGCATGTAAAAACCAACTTTTCTCTTTAAATTGCAAATAGGGCCTAAACGGTCAATCTTAGGAGAATAATTACTACAATAATCGATATAGAATTTAATTGTCTTTCTTTTATCTTAGTAACATTTTACTGTATTCTGTTTTATGTAGAAGTTATGAACGTTTAAAGTTTCACTTTCGATTTCCGGCCGAAATAATTTAAGACGTAAGTGCGGCCCTGGCTTTTGACACAAAATAATTTAAAAATATGATTAATAATTAGTTACAGCTAGTAAAAATAAAATAATACCTTCAGGACTGATTATTAAAGAAAATTAAATGCGCATGTTTTCACTTGTACCTGAAATTAAAGAAGAGGTGAAAAAATTAAAGAGTTATTTATCTTTAACAACATTTCTTTATTATTAAAATAATATTATATACATAAATACATTTAAAATCTATATAAAAGTATCACAGTAAATACAATAACAGTCCAGACTTAAAAATTACTGATTAACAAAAAATTACAAACGTAATGCTTCACAGAAAATCAATTAATTAAAAAGTGACATAATTTGGACGAGCGCAACTAACAATTTCTAAAATCCAGTTTCCTTTCTCCCTTTTTTTATAAACAAATTAAAATACCATGCTGCCAAACAAACATGACTGCTTGGAAAATTGGAAAATGGCTCTGACAAGAAGTGTCAGGTGTTATTGACATGTATCTGACGTTTCTGGTGGTTGGAGAAGCAGGAAAATCGCAGCCGTCTACGAAAAACGCGCTGCGACACTCGCAACCTGCAGCGTAATATGTTAGATCGCATTGCATGTTCGTTTTGCTAGGCGTAGTCAATGTCGCCTCAATTCTGTTCAGTATTATCCTAATTGGAGTGTACTTTTTGCACCTACGAAAGAGGCTCATATCTTCGCGAAAAATGGAGCCAGAGGATGCAAAATTTATGCGCACGTAAGTACAGATCACAACAAAACACAACAAAAACAACTGAACATTTGCAATGAATTGCTTCTAGCGACCGCAAACCAGGTACCCTAGATGCACATCCAGCCCTCAGTGCAGTTGTTCTCAACTACGAGCTGGAAGTGCAAATATTAGGCCAGAATGAAACAGTTCTCTATGGTGAAAAACAGGTATAAAAGTCATTAACATCATACAATATTACAAGTAATTATCATATGTGATTATTGTAGAATCTAAAGAAAATCATTGAGTTGCCCATGCTCAACTCAAGGTCTGATTGTGCAATACTTGCCAAAGAAGTACTCTCTCAATGTGACTTGATTCATCCCACAAGGATTTCAGAACTGGAGCAGATTATATTCTACCTAAAGAAACGCAAATTGTCTTCTTCCAATAAAGGTAAAAACTATCTTAAACAAAAAAAGATAATAACAAACTCAATTTACTTCGTTTAGATGTAGATATCTCTCGAAATGGTTCTGCTGACTCAGAAACAGCTAACATCAACAGCCTCAATGAATACATTGAGCTATTATATGAAGGAATTGCAGAGAAGATCAAATCCTCCATGTTGATTCTTCAACTGGCGCGTGATCCAGAAAATTTAGAAGCTTTGTCTAAAAATGGTTAGTTAATCAATCAATACCTAACCATTAGTAAAATTAAATTATATTTTAGAAACCGTTCTAAGTGCTTTAACTCGCGTGCTGCGTGAAGACTGGAAGAAGAGTCTCATCCTCAGCACAAATTTAATCTTCATATTTTTCTGTTTTTCAACGTATTCCTGCTTTCATCATGTGATTCTTCACTATAAGATTGGTTCCTTATGTATGAATATAATAGCCTACGAATTACAACGCTATGAAGAATGGAAAACAGACCTTTCCGGTCTGCCCAAGCCTTCAGACATTCCCATAATGCGTCGTTCGGCCTCTAATAATGTTAATCTCTCCGAGGTGGTTCCACGCAGTGGTATTCCACAGAAAGTACGCCCGAAATCCGGGAATTATTCCGATATAAACATGAAAGCTGTGATGGAAGGCAGCGTCTATGATGATTTAAGCCAATCTTCAGAGAGTATTGATGAAAAGAAGCAGATGAGTGAAACTGAACGCCTGAAACGTTACAGAACTCTGATTAAGAAACAGGAACAGCTTCTACGCGTCGCTTTCTTTCTCTTGTTGAATATCGCAGAGGATGAAAGCGTCGAAGAGAAAATGATCAAAAAGAACATTGTGGAATTATTGAGTAAAGCTCTAGAACGCGAAAATGAAGAGTTACTGGTATTAATACTGACCTTTTTGAAGAAATTGAGCATCATGCAGGTGAATAAAGATGACATGGGTGAATATGATGTCGTGGAGAAGCTACCAAAGATGTTACAGAGTAGTCACGTTGACGTTGTCCACTTAACTCTAAAACTCTTGTTTAATTTATCGTTCGATGAAGAAATGCGTATGAAAATGGTCAAGTTGGATATGTTACCGAAGTTTGTCAGTTTACTCTCTGATGAGCGTCATCAGGAAGTCGTGTTGAAGTTGCTCTACCACCTAAGCTACGATGATGATGTCAAAGAACAATTCGCATACACAGATTGTGTCTCCCTGATTGTTGACATGTTGGTGTTGAACGCCACTGATCAAGTCGATCAAGTCATGGTCGCGCTGTGTATTAATCTCGCGATTGACCCGAATAACGCACAGCAAATGGCGGACAACAGTCGCCTGCATAGCTTGATGACTCGCGCGTTGGCGCACGAGGATGCCTTACTCATGAAAATGATTCACAACATCGCTGAGCATGATAACACCCGAACAAGTTTCATCGAATTTGTCGGTGATCTAGCCAAGGCAACCATGGAATCAAAGAAAGAAGACTTCATTCTTGAATGTTTAGGCGTTTTAGCGAATTTACACCTTGCAGATCTTGACTGGGCGGAGATTTTTAAACATTTTGACATGATACAATGGTTTAACACCGTGTTAAGATCAAATGCGCAGCAGGATTATATTCTGCAGGTGATTGTACTTCTTGGTACAGCTGTGCATGATGAAGGATGTTCACAATTACTCTGCAAGTCGAATGTCCTCGCCGCATTGATTGATTTATTGAAAACTTACCAGGAAGATGACGAGATTGTCCTGCAGATTATTTATGTGTTTATGATTGCGTTGTCGCATAGAGAGAGCATTGATTATGTTATTAATAACACCGAAGCTCCGGCTTATTTGATTGATCTGCTGCAAGATAATAACAAAGCTATTAGAAAAACGTGCAATACTTGCTTGGATATCATTGCTGAGCGCAGCGCTGTTTGGGGTGAACGGATTCGTATCGAGCGGTTCCGCAATCACAACGCACAATGGCTACAGATGGTTGATTCGGAGACGCTAGAGCCTGATGAGGAGGAAGAAGATAACGAACTGCCGCCATATTTGAATACTGCTTACTTGAGCACGGCGGTTGTTCCGCCATTAATGCCGTTGGATAATAACACTCTGAACGAATCAGAGACCGCTACCAAGAAGGACTTCAACCACGAATATTTTAATAAAATCGACGATAAGTAAGTTATTTTTTAGCACATCTCATCACAATCACTCATACTGATCAATTTTGTTCTAGTCTCCTACAGGATTTTGAAATGGAATCCATGTAATACTTAAATTGATACTCGCTTCGTTAATTTGTCTAGTCAAAGTCGAACTTGATGTTACCATAATCAGCATTTTAGTCCAAAAGTTAGCTATGCGTTTGTCCTGCCTTGGACATTTATGTTGTATGTTATTAACTTATTGTCTACGCATTTTGTTACACCACATTCCGGATATTTTTGATGCAATATGATAGACTATGAATAAATAATGAATATCTCACCAATGATCTGCGTTTGCAGTTTGCTTAACTCATATAATATGCACTTTTCTTCGAATGACACAAACTTAGCAGTTAATAGTATGTAATTATAGCCGAAAAATACTCTCGCTACAATCCTCAACGATTCAAGCCTGGAATATGCACATCACACACACAAGTAATCGTAATCGCAGCCACATCTGAATCCGAAAGCGATACGCCTCCGATGTACACGATTAACAGCTAATATCACTTCAATTTTGACACTGTTCTCGGCTTAAATCTGCTTAAACGTTAAACGTACCTAAGAGTTTCAAGTGTGTTGATATACAGACAGTGCGTGTGTGCTTACGTTTACCATTGAAAAGTTCTGTATAATAATAATAATAATAGCAAATCGAAGCAAATCGCAAAACTTTACATCTTTCTGAATAACAATTTGTTGCTAGGTTTTTTTTCTCTCTTGGAATGTGCAAATTCCTCAACGAAGATATATAGCGCAAACAAAAGCGTCAAACAAATCCATATCCATTTTCAGCTCATACATTATAATATAAAAAATGATAGATCATTTGATAATCAACGACGCAAAAATTTTCTTCTTTGTTTTAGTTGTGTTGTGGTAACAACGACAATATTATCATGGAGTGTAACGCGTATACCTAAGAGTGTTTTTAGCTGCAAGAGCATCACAAAAACGAACAGATTTCAAGCTCTTGCGGGCGGAAACAAATACAAAAGAAAAATCATCATCATCATCGCAAGAGCCGCTAAACATTAAAAAAAAAAAGAACGCGAGCGCGCAACAAACAAAGAACGCCATGTGCAATAAACAATAATAAAATACTAAGTAAGACGAAATAATAATAATAATATGTAGTGATAATAATACATGATTAGCGCGCAAACTCGAGGCTCGAGGCAATTTGATTGCGGCCCGACAATTCGAATCAATTTTCATCACGTTTCTGTTTGTGTTTATAGTTACAATACTTGACGATTGAACTTGAGCTGATTCGCCGGCGCGCATTATCGTTAAGTACAGGCAAAACAACAGCCAGCTACACAGTGTTAATTATATCCGAAGCGATTGCAAACATGACGGGCGAGAATTTCTACAGAAATCATCATCCAAGCGCGCATCTTCAAAATAGAAATATGAGTCGATGATTTCTGTGTCTGTTATTAGTGTAGTATGCATGTGTGTGAGTGTGTGTAGATGTGTGTGCTTTGTTAGCATAGATTTTTTATCTTGTTGTTGGTCGGAGAAGGCGCAGCACTCTCACTCTTTGTTCACGGTGGTGTCCATCGGGCTGGCGGGCTGTGGCGCTGGTATGGCCGGCTTGATGAAACGCTCGCCGGTGCGCCGATGGGGCGGCGCTGGCGGCGAGTTGGAGTTGGCCGCGTGGAGATTCTGCGGCACGCAGACGGCGGGCGGTTGCAGCTGCCCGCAACTATGACAGCGCGACGCCGAAACAATTAGAGAATCACGCGGTGATGGTGCTTGCAGCGGAAAACCTAAAATAATCAAAATAATTATAAAACTATGAAATAATTTAGTAGATTTTTATGTTACCTGGACTTAGCGGACGACTTTGACTCGGCGACGGATTGTACGGCACTGGACTCACTGTATGTTGGCGCACGCCCAACACCTGCTCGTTATAGTGTCGCTCCTCTTCCATTTCGAGCGAACTTTCGCTCTCGGAAAGGTGTCGACAGAGCGCCTCACGTCGATCTACCTCCAATTGTAACTTACGCTGTAAACGCAGGTTCTCCTCGCGAATGTTACGCTCCTCCTGGGCGTAACGCTGCATCTTCAGCGTGTGTTCCTGCTGGCTGATCGAAAGTTGCGATCGGAGACGCGCTACCTCCGAACGCAGTGTTTGAATGTGCGCTGAAAGATTACTCGCCGTGTCGCCGTTGTTAATGTCTCGGGGACTCGTCGGATCGGACACTGGTTGATCCAGCTTGATCTGCAGCATGCGCTTCTCCGCCTCGAGTTTATCCATTCGTTTCCATAATTTGTTTACTAACGCCTCCTGCTCCTGTTCTAAAGTGTTTTCTAATTCGACCTGCATTGAGAAAATATTTACATGTTGACAGTTACAAATGTGTTTGTTTGCTTACTTTTTCGCGTCGCAATTGCTCAAGATTGCTTTGTTTGGCGAGCGTCTCGGCCTCGAGCTTCTCGATTTTGCGCATGAGACGATTCACAAGGCACTCCTGCTCTTGTTCGAGTGTTTGCTCGAGAATGCACTTCTCCTGCCGGAGCTGTGTGAGTTTCCTGGAGAGGTCATTCGTGAGGCATTCCTCTTCGCGTTCGTAATGATGTGCGAGCGACTCCTTTTCCTTTTTGAGCGCCTGAATCTTCTTCAGCAGTGTATTTGAGATGTATTCTTCTTCTTGTTCAGCTTTTGCTTGCTGCACAATGAAAAATAATAAAGTTATTAACAATTTTGCAATTAGAGATTAAAAATAACATACAATAATCACGGAGGCTTGACGTAGACCACGATTCTCCTCCTGGAGCGCCTTCACGCGCAGCTTGTACGTCTCCAGCTCGACTTTCAGCACGCGGTTCTGCTGCTGCAGGCTCTCGATGCGTTTCTGCAGCTGTTCACGCGTGATGGGGCTGGGCGGCATCATGATGGGTCCACCATCAATACTGCTGGAGTCAGACTCGCTGGCAGAGTCAGCCATATCGCCGATGGGGAATTTCAAGCCCGGATCGTGTGTGTCACTGGCCTGGCGTTATCAGCACCGGGTCCGGTTATTTCTGGGGGGCCTACCTGTGTCCGGCGGGATGCACTTGCAGCACGTCGACGAACGTGTGGAGCGCGCTGGACATGAATCACACGCGATTTTATGCACGCGCGCGACACCGACTCACCGACACTGCGTTGACCACACACACAGCGAGGATGGTCGAGAAGAGGACTTTACTGCAGCGCGATAACTGCGATTGAACTGGAGCCGTGTAAATCGTGCGGATCTGTCGCGAGTTGTGCGGGTTGCGGTCGCACGGGTCAAACTTGGAGCAAATTCCGTGTCATTTTCAACAGGTTAACTTCTAAACTTATTTTATTTACCTGATATACAACGTTGAATGTTGATTATTCTGTGATTACTGTAAATTGCAACGCGCAGATTACCAATCTGAACAAACAATGAACAGAACAAATGAATATTTTTGTACTTTGAAGCGAGACTGCAAACCTGACACAACAAAAGTCCCTAAATATCCGCAGGAACTGTTTGCTTTCACAACCTGCTCGGCAGGAATTTCAAGCGAATTCTTTGTTTTTAATCGCTAGTTACTTACAAGAAATATGCAATTTATTATGTAACAATTAACATTACTTCAATATACAGCAAGGATATCAATATTCGGCAAAATATGATATATACTGTATAAAAGATAATAACCGTAAGACAGGAGAACTAAATAAAATCAAAGTAACTGCTTAAATTAACGTCGCGTCAGTCAATAATTCATCATCACCATTACTCCTGCACCTTCCGCTTCTTAGGCTCCTCCTTTGCCTCACCGGAAGTGTCCGCCTTAACCTTAACGATGCGCTTCGCTTTCAAATATGACATGGCGCTCTGCCGACTGCTGGATTTATCACCGGGAGACATACTTGACTCCGAACCGGAATTCGATAACTGCCCATCCTCATTCTGCAATGCCTCCTGACCGCATTCCATGTCCTCGTCCTTTTCTAATTGTTTCGCATCCTCCGCGTCTTCGTCCTCATCCGGCACGATATCACCTTCAACATTATTTTTTTCTCATTAATCTAGATTTAAATATTTTTGGAAGGATTAGGATAATTACAGCGTAGAACGAGGACGTTTAGAGGCCCAGGATATCAGATCAGGATCGAAGGACTCGGGATCCTTACCGTTTTGCGTGGGCAGCGCAATGGCGGGTAGGATGTTGATGTCCTTCTTGTACTTGAGCATCAGCTCCTTGATGAGGTTGGCGATGTCTTCGCGTTTGCGCGTTACGATTATCTCATCAAACCAGTCCTTCAGGCCCTGGATCGGAATGCGATAGTCGGTGATGGGTTTCTTGAAGAAGTGCTCGACGTATTGGAGCAGGTACAGGCCGCAGTCGGTGTAATTGTTTTGCTGGGGGATTTTCGGGCAGGCGCCGCAGATGATTTCCTTGGTGAAGACTTTGACTTGTTTTTTCTTCGCCGCATATTCGCAGGTGAGGTAATCACGGAGAGTTGCGACGACGCGCGATCGCCCAGCGCCGGCAAGAGAGTCGAATATTAAGATACAGGGTCTGCAATGAGATGAAAATTTGAATTTCGCGCCAACAGTGTTACCAACTATAGCACGCCATATTTGTGTACATGCAAAAACAAGACATTCAGATGTTATTATCTAAATAACTTATTATAAATCGATTACTAATAGTTATTTTTATGTATTGCAATAAAAAATGTGTTATAAATGGCCGTATTGTCAGTTTATCGAGATTAGTTGAGTCGTGAGGTTATGTAGGGTCAGTTTTGGCGGGAAACGAGACAGATGTCGAATGTCAAACAACACATGGTAAAAGGCAGCGTTGCCAAACGTTACTCACTGTTTGATTGGTACGCTGTCCATCGATACAGGCGTCGTTGGAGTTGCTTCATCAGAATCATCGACTTCGAATTCGCTATCATCACCCTCGGCTTCGTCTTTATCTGAATTATCCTCGATTTCCGGAATGGGAGTCTTGATAGCCTTTATTTGCACAGGTGGTTTGTGCGGTGGAATGTTACTCGATCGTTCTAAGTATTAAAAAAACACATTTAAAAATGCACTTTTTAAAGAAATTATTAAAGAAAATTACTTGTAGTTTGGCGTTTGCATAATTCTCGTTTGATCTTGATACCACTGAACGTTTCCGCTTCATCCATGCCAGGGAAGCAAATAATGGCCAAAAACCAGTGGGCGTTTTCATTTATCGGCACCACGATAAAGTCTTTTTCAAACAAATCGATATTTTTCGTCCATTTCTGCACACGAGCGTGACGTTTTTGAGCTGGTGTTAAATTTGCATCCAATTCGGTTGAATGCGCTCGCCTGAAATTAATCAAAATATTAATCATCAATTAAAACATGTTTACAACTGGCAACATGGCATACCAGTGTTCCCAACTGTAGCAAAATAAAATACAATATAACCTCAAACATATTGAAACAGTGTTCCCAATTTTAGCAAATAAAATATCAACATAACCTTAATTCAAAAGAAAGTGTTACCAACAATAACAAATTAAATAAAAGTAAATAACCTCAACTCTCAGTTTAAAGGCAATAAAAAAGTTAAAAATTAAAATACAGCAACAATAAACCTTTTTATACAAGAAATATGTTTATTATTTGTAACTAAATTATATTTAATTGAATTATTTTGTAAACCAATGCGAAAAAATACACACCTCAAATTGCGTGCAGGTTTGGTCGTGAGTCTTGTATAGAAAAACGTGGAAAACACCTGAACCTTGGCACGTTGCTCCTCAGGCATCTGATGTATCATATGCTTCAGATAGAAATCAATAATCGCATCATTCAGGAACTGATCGCGCTCCAAACACATATAATCCTCGGTATTAATACTAATACCGCCTTTACCAGGCGGATAAATTAATAATTGTCGAACTTCCGACGATTGTTGTTGATTGGAATTACTATATCACAAAAAAACAAAACAAACGTTAAATAAATCTTATAAAATTAATATTAAAACACATAACTTACGCCAAAATGGCTTGTGAGACATCCGCGGCACAAGTCTTCAACAAAATAGAATTCGCCTCGACTGCATTGATCTCCTCCAAGATTTTCGGCTCCCCATAAACAGTTTCAAACACCCATTTATCCTCCTCACCGAAAGACGACGGCAAAAGCACAATTCTTCGATGCAACTCATTATCACTAATCGGATTGTAGAAAAATTCACCATCCGGAGTCATTCCCAACGCAGACGCAATCTTTTCAGCTTCCGAAGGTAACACATAGATAAAAACAACAGGCAGCGTCTTCTGGAAATTCGCCAACACCTTGTATACAATCCTGCGCGCGATTAATATTGTTATAATCTCGCCTTTGCGTTGAGTATGCGGTACTTTTATAATCATCTCCTTACAATTCAAAGCCACCTAAAATACAAAACAAAAAATATTAATTTTTTATCAATTTTTCTTTGAAATTTTTTTACTTACATCAGAAACTGGAGTAAATCTATAGGAACCAATACGAATCGTGCGACATGCAATACTGCAACACGCCAAACTAGCCGAATTCTTCAACGAGGACACCACAGCGTTCTTCAAGCATTCAATCGACGGCTCCTTGTCAGCAACAGCCGCATCCGGTTTATCATTGGAAGAATCATCGTCTTCCTCGTCCGAACTAAGCGTAACCACCATATTCTCAACTTCCTGCAACCGCGTGCGCTGCAGCTTCCTCTTCGGTGATGCTATACCTTTATTTGCTATCATATTAGCTGTTGTGGTAGTAACACTACCATTCCCAGAAGAAGAATTCCCTAAACTCGCAGGTCTAGGCTTGAGATTAATCTCAATACCTGGTTTCTTCGACGTGTTACGTTCTGCTCCAGGTTTGATTAAAACAGCTTTACTATTATCTGGTAATTTCCGTCTGCATCGCTGACACCGATTGAAATCTTCGGAAAGAAATCCGCAGTTTGTACACACCGCCATCTTACCCGGGATGAGTTTCGGAGGTTCTTCAGGCGGTTCCAAAGGCGGCGTTGGGATTTTCGGCGGGGGTTCAACAGGCTGTGCTTTTTTCGCACGATTACGAGGTTTTGGAGGTGCGGATGGATCGTCATCTTCGTCATCATAACCCACACTGACCACGATATTAATACCATCCCTGTTGATTTCATTAATACCAATTCTAGTACCTGCGTCAACCGCAACACCGACTTGATCCAGGATTTCGTCGATGGTGCAATCTTCTTTGGGTGTTGTGAAAGTGATCAGTCTTTGTTCACCGCCAGCAAGCAAGACAAACATGCGAATACTATTCTCAAATTCATCATCCCTGCCGCTTTTACTAATGATATCTTTGATATCCTGTGAGACTTGGAAGTCTCGCAGGATTTTCGGCATGACTGCGGACTGATTCGAGCCGATTATCCTCGCGGATGGTTTTCTAGTTGGAATCGGTTCAGGAACTCGATGGATAGGTGGACGGGCTGCAGGGCGTGGTAGAGTTGGTCTTGCAGGTCTAACCATTCCTCCGGGTCGTTGTGGAGTTAACTTCTTCTGTTCCATGAGTTTTTGGTAGTCTTCCAGGGGTAGAATACGCCCGTCTTCCATTTTGACCATTTCCGTGCCGTTCACTCCACTTGCGGTGTTGGTGGCTGGTCGGATAACACCACGGACTTGTCCGGTGGCTCTCGGAGAGGGTCGCAGGCCGCGCAGCATGCGTTGTTGTGGTGTGACTGCTATGGCGCTGCGCGGACGTGGAATCATATTCGCTCGGGTTATGCCTCGCACTGGTGGTATGGTGCTGTTTAGGATTACAGGTTGTTGCAGTGTATGATTGAGCACGACCGGCTGCATTGCGGGTACTTGCTTCGGCGGGCTGCTCACAAGATACAGCTGCTGTTGTGGAAATTGCTGCAGCACTGGCTGCTCTATGACATTATCAAGGAGAAAAGTCTGATTACTGTCGGTGCTCTGGATGATGTAATGCACGCCCTGTTGGTCGACGATGTTCGTGGAATAGGTCGCTGGCATTTCGTCGCCAGGCGTGTGCTGGTCGACAACTTGAAAGAATTGTGCCATATTCAACCAATTGTGGGCATTTATGCGCGTGCAGGTTAGGAATGCCTAATTTGCGAATTATTAACGAGCTCACCACGTTAAACGCTGAATCATACCTTGAAATCGGTGCGATGCTCGTCGGTTATAATTTGCACGGTTCACAGTGATGATTTTCGGTTGAATTCCGAGCGGAAAATTGCGAATTGTGTGCGCGATGCAGGCACGATTGCAGTGCGTTTATGCGACACGTTAAAATGGCGGGTCGCTACACGAGCGCATGATCGGTCGGGCAGCATCGACGCCGGAGAGAATATCCGAGCAACGCGTGAAACATTTCATTTCTATAATTTGAGTTTTTCGTTCAAGTGTCGGGCATTTTCCGGCTTTTTAATTTTTTGAAAATTCTTTATCAGTGTTGCCAAATAAGTGGAAGCAGTGATACCAAATATAGGTAACTAGAGTAAATAATTATCTAGTGAGTAGGTCAGGTAAGGTTAGGATTTTACTTTTTGGAAAAAGTATATTTGTTATAAATAAATATATCAAATTAATTTTAAAACAATGTAATTTATAATTATATCACTTATTTATTTAGGGTTTTAATTAAGATAATTAAGAAATGTGTATATATGTTTTACTCATCATAGTTGCCAACTGTAGCAAAGTCAGTGCTGTCAACTGTAGCAAACAAAAGTAACTAGGCACCAAGAACTTAGGTTATGTCAATATTTTTTAGTCTAAATAAAACAAACACAAAATGCCTCACAATAAACACAAAAACTAACAAAATAATATTATTTAAATAAATATATTTCATATTTACTTTAAATATCCTATTAAAAGTAATTCTTTCAATACCGTTCATCAATACATGCGCACTAGGAGAAGTGGTAAAACTTCCCCTTCCCTATGCATAGGTATGTCATCTTTGTTGGTTGCATACGTCAATCGATTGCATTCAGTCACCTCTAGAATTGGCACGTTCTCAGCACTCGCCATCCTTGTCTAACCCATGTCCGATTTCATTCACGCAGCATACGCGTCAGTCGCAGTAATCTACGTTTTGCTAATGGTTGCTACATGACAGCTAAGTGCAAGGGTGCAAGAATAGAAGACGTACGTTTGTGTTGTGTGCGACGTTCGTGTTTTATACATTAATCGAACCAACGTGCACGATGGAGACCATTGAGATAAACATGAAACCTTTTCTGACAGCGCCGCTGCAGCTGGACAAAATCTGCAGGGCGTGTTTAGGTATCAAGGGCGAGATGAAGCCGCTGTACGGCGCTTGCTTGGACGAAATGCTCGTTGCTTTCGCGCAAATCAAGGTAAGAATCGCATACATGTGACCAACAGACAGAGACAACAACAAAAAAGACTTCTATGTTTGTCTGGAGCATGAATTTGAATGAAATAAAAGGAAATAAATGATAAAACATGTAAAACATTTAAAATTTTTGCACACAGGTTGAAAAAGGTGATGGTTTACCATCAAAGATGTGCGTACAGTGCATTTTACAATGCAGTCGTGCTTATACATTCAAACAACTCTGCGTTAAGTCTGCGTCGATTCTGCGCACTTACATTTCGCCCGATTTTCAAAGACAACTCAAGAAAAACGGTCACGCCACTGGAGATTTTGACATAAAAGAAGAATTACAGGAAATACAAGTAACTACAGAGAATCAAAAGCAGACAACACCTTCACAATCAACACAAATAACAGAAGAAAACAATTTAGACGTGAAAACACTGGAAGTTGACGTTACAGAAACAGAAATACAAAGTTTCTCAACCAACGCCACTGATGTTGACATTGCGGAAGTCCTCCCAGCGCAGATGGTCACATTCGATGATGGCACCACCGGATATTACATGGAACACGTGACTATTGTTGATAACGTCAATTCTAATGATTCCACTCTACAAGAAGTCACGTTTGATGAAGAACCCTTCACTGACGAGATAAATTTCATCAACACGGATGACATCATCCGGGAACCGGATCCTTTGGTGGTTTCAATGTCGCCATTACCCCCACCACCGGAAGTTGAACCATCTTCTGTATCTACATCAAATTCTCCAAAATCAAAACGCGGTAAACGTTATAAATGCACAAAATGTCCTTTATCTTTCTCTTTGAAGATAGACCAAAAGGTACACATGTTGACACACCCTGTAGAATTGAACCATCGATGCGGAGTATGCAAGAAAGCATTCGCCGAGGCGCGCATGCTCAAGAGACATTTAAAAATCCACTTTACAAAGACACATCATTGTGATCAATGTGATATGTCCTTCGCAGAAAGCTCGAATCTTTCTAAGCATAAGAAGAAACATACAGGGGAATTGCGAAACATCAAAGGCAAACCACATTTATGCTCCATATGCGGCCGCGCATTCAAATGGGCGTCATCCATATCAAAACACATGAAATATCACACTGGGCATAATTTACTCACGTGTCAATTTTGTGGGAAGCAATATGTGGAGGCGCGTAGCCTCAGGGTGCATATTAGGACCCATACGGGTGAAAGACCACATAAATGTCATTTGTGTCCTAAAGCGTTTACTCAGAGTTGTAATTTAGAGAAACATTTGCGGGTACACACCGGGGAGAAACCCTATTTGTGTAAGGTTTGTGGGAAGGGGTTCACGCAGAGCGGGTATGTGCGTATCCACATGCGGATACACACAGGGGAACGGCCTTATATGTGTCACACATGCGGGAAATCGTTTTCGGGGTCAAGTACGCTCGCGGTTCATCAGCAGGTGCATTCGGGGGAGAAACCATATGAGTGTACGGTTTGTGGGTTTAAGTTTAATCGTCTTAGAGCGCATCAGAAGGTGCATGGTGTGGAGAAGATGTTACCGTGTAAACAATGTGGGAAATGTTTTACGACGTCGGATGATTTGGATGATCATACAATGTTTAGGTGTTGGAAGGGTGCTAAGGTTGAAACGGTGAGAATCTCGGATTTATTAACCGGGGAGACTGTGCATACAGTGCAGGTTCAAGCTGCTGATGTGTTATAATCATGTTTATTTGTCATTTAATAAAATAGGAAAGAAATTGTTTGTTAGGGATAAGTTTGACGCGTAAATAAATAAATTTAGAAGAATATTGATGATTCAATATAGAATTTGCATGAATTATTTATTTGTTTATGCGTTAAAGTTATCTAAAAACTAGAATTTTTGGTTCCAATCTTATAATAAATAAACCCTAAAATGGTCCCACTTCTGATACTACGTTCGTATCATTCTCTCGCAGTGCAGTGTTCTGAAGGTTTCACTTCTACCGCGTGTGAACTGATTTTTTTTTATTCCTGTTGCAAATTGGCTCGCGGCGAACGACGTATTCCCTGCTAGCAGATTCTGAAAGTTAGCAGCGACACCAACCCACCGAATCAAGAAGCTATAGAGTTTAGTATTGCTTGGCAACGCTGTATTTATGTCCCCCCCTGCTGTCCTGCCGACAGCGTTCGATTCGACAGCACAGCGCACCGCAGCAGGAGAGTCGACGACAGAGACCCACATTCGCTGGTGCTGGTGTTGTGACGTTTGCGAGCACTCAGCGCTGCGCCCCTGCTGCCTGCAACGATGGAGAAAATGGACCCGAACACACTGCTCGCCTCGACGCTGCAGCTCGACAAGGTGTGCAGGACGTGCCTAACGGAGCGCGGCGACATGAAGCCGCTGTTCGGCGCCTGCCTCGACGAAATGCTCGGCGCGATCGCTCAGATCGAGGTTGGTATAATCACATACGTCGCACAATCGTCGACATTTATTTTCATGCCGTCTTTGTCGCGCGCACACGCATCGCGCACGAGGATCACGTGCCGCCCGCTTTTTTTCAAAACCCACACGCTGATTTCTTTTTACCTGTGTAGATTAAAGAAAACGATGGCCTACCATCGCAAATGTGTATGCAATGCATGCGACTATGCAATCGCGCGTACACATTCAAAAAGCAATGCGAGAAATCCGACTCGATTCTGCGGAATTACATTGCTCTGAAAGCAGAGGACACGCTTTGCGACGCGCAGGAAATGATCTCAGTCGATAACGCATTGCAGGAGTTCTCGAATGCTGTTACCAATGTCGTCATCGAGGAACTACCCTCGGATTTAATACCGTATGAAAGCAATGGGATCAAATACTACACCACAGCTGACAATGTCATTGTCGAACCATTAAAGTCAGATTCAGATGCTTATGAAGTATACATTCAAAATGGTGACGATGAGGAGAAGAAAGACATTGAAATGATGTATGGATGTCCAAAGTGCAGTGAAACATTCAAGCTGAAAGTTGATTTGGAGGTGCACATGATGTCACATCCAAAAGATATGGTCCAACATGTCTGCGGCATGTGTTATCAATCCTTTTCAAATGCACATAGCTTACAGGAGCATGCAAAGACACATGTGGCGAAAAAAGCACATCAATGCGATAAATGTGAGATGTCATTCAATAAAAGCTGGAGTCTCACTAGGCATATGTACAAACACTCACAAGTAAGACCATTCTTTTGTCCAGTGTGTAAAAGAGCGTTTAAATGCGCTGCTTATGTTGAAAAACACATGAAACAGAACAAGGAGTGTAAAAGATCTTTAGCCGAACGCAAAACTGTGAAAAAGACGCCGAAAGTTGTGAGTTTTCATCAATGCGACCAATGTGACATGGCTTTTGCTAAGATTTGGAACTTAAACCGGCATAAAATGTTACATAAACAGGATAAAACACAACCATTTATGTGTACTGTCTGTGACCGGACTTTTGAATCTTCTGCAGCACTTTCCGGACACATGCGATGTCACCCAGATAGAAAAATGCATGAATGTGTGTTTTGTAATAAGCAATACGTGCAGAAACGCAGTCTGAAGGTGCATATTCGGTCACATACCGGCGAAAGTCCACCGATTTTCGCCGGTGAGAAAAACCACGTTTGTGAGACTTGCGGAAAAGCATTCGCTGGGTCAAATTCACTCGCATTACACAAACGGGTTCATGCGAAAGCGAAAGAGGTCTGGGAGTGTGAAATATGCAAGAAAAAGTTCAATCAACAAGCGAATTTTGATGTGCATATGAAATCGCATAGCGAAAGTAAACCGCACGTGTGCAAAGTGTGCAATAAAGCATTTTCATCATCCAGTCATCTTTCGGGACACATGTGGACGCATGAGAAACGCGTCGAGTGTGATGTTTGCTTCAAACAGTAAGCGGCCATTTTGGATATTCGAGTTTCATGATTGTATATTGTATGTTTTAGATTTACGACAGCGAAAAGTCTTAGTATACACAAACGCATTCATGCCACCACTGAAATGGCGCCGGTGGAAGCAGAAACGACGATTATATGTCAAACATGCGATGTAGATTCACCTATATTCCATAGTGAAGAGGAAATGCATGAGCATATGCTCAATATTCATCAGTTAAAGGTGGAACCAGTGGAAGACGGTGACGGGAAGTTGTTTAAGTTGCTGATGCTGCAGAATTAGACACACCAGCAACAACATGTAAGTATCGGTCCAAAATATCAAAGATATTACCAATAATTTACACGAATTTCTGCTCTAAGTGGGAATTTCAGATATCACATAAGTGTTTATGCCTTATTTGTGTTTTATATATTACTTATATAGTATTATATGCTACTTTAAAGTATATGAATGCAATAAATACTTAGAGAAGATTGTTTGATCAATTTTGCAACGTCATTGTCATTTCCTACGTTGCATTTGAGAAGGAAATTCGCGTTTTCTACATTTAAAATTTAAAACTAGTGGCAACCCACCATACATGAAAATGCAACGTTGCCAAGTATAAATAACTTCAACACTTTTCTTCAAATTTTCAACGTAAAACATAAAATAAACAGTCAATTAATTTAATTTTATTATTTTCTACGTGTTTACTAAGTTTATTTAAGTTATTTCCTGATAATTATTAAAAAAATAGTAAAATGCGCGTAATCCCCACCATTTGCGGTACACAATCGACCAGTGGAAGCATCGCGTCTCCGCCATTTGCAATGTGCTGCTGTCCGTCTATTCTGTTTACATTACTTTCGGCGATTCAAACAAGTTGACTAAAGTTTTCAAACTTTTCACAACTATGGAAACACTCAAAGGCGAACAGGTCCATCCCTTCGACATTAGCAAGATCTGCAGGGCATGCCTCACCGAGAAAGACGAGATGCGATCGGTTTTCGCCGGCGGCGACGATACACTCGCACAGGGAATGCGTTTGGCTGAAATTCTCATGGAATTTTCACAAATTCAAGTGAGTTATCTATTAAAACAATCATTTAATACCCAGAAAACATTAGAAACACACGTGTTAGTAATTATAAAACATTATTTACATAATTTTTTTTATTGTCAACCATTTAAACAAAGAAAAATAACAAATTTTTGCAAAATTTTAGATTGAAAGTGGAGATGGACTACCTACACTGCTCTGTCTTCAATGTGCACATCAAGCAAGTCAATGTTTCTCCTTCAGACAACTCTGTGAACAATCAGATACAAACCTACGACAATATTTAGGCAAACCACCGTCAAAACCAAAGAATCTCGACGCTGAAGCTCTAACAATCTACAATAATCAACTTTTAAACCTCGAAGAATCCTCACATTCAGAAGATTCAGATGACGAAGACTATAAATCTGAAGAAACAATGGATGTTTTAACAGATCCACAACAAATCAAACTTGTTGCACAGAAACAAATGTTTAAACTGAGCACGAAACTCCAAAAAGAAAAGAATATTCGGAAAAAAGTCAAAAACAAAACGAAAAAATCAATCACAAAGAACAAATGCAACGTTTGCAAGAAAACCTTTATGAATCCGAAAGCTTTCTTGAAGCATTTACGTACACATATTGAAGACAGACCTTTTGCATGCAAACTATGCCCGCGGAGCTTCACAGAAGAGAATTATTTAAACAATCACATGCGTACGCATATGCCTGAAGGTGAAAAACCACACGAGTGTGAATATTGTAAAGCGCGCTTTATTCATGTAACTCTACTAAAAAAACACATGTTGAAACATTCCGGTGAAAAGCCCTACGTTTGTAAGATATGCAACAAAGGATGCTATGCAGAAAATAGTTTATTGAAACACATGAAGATACACGAACGAAAACAAGGCGATCCTGCATTATTAAAACACATGTGTGATTATTGCAAGAGTGAATTTGCAAATGCGCAGTTATTAGCGGATCATATAAAGCAACATTCGGGTGATCGGCCATTTTTATGCACGATATGCGGAAAGTGTTTCCCGCAGAGATTTAACCTCGAATTACATTTAAGGACACATACAGGCGAAAGACCCTTTGAATGTGAGATATGTAAAAATGGTTATGTGTCAAAAGCTAGTTTGAAGATACACATGCGCACGCATACCAACGAGCGGCCATTTGTATGCGATTTTTGTGGTAAAGCATTCAGACAATCAGGGGATTTGACAAGTCATAAGAGATTACACGGCACGGAGAAACCAATTGAATGTTCTGTTTGTAAAAAAAGGTAAGGTTATGTTTTACTTTTAAATTTTGTATAAAATTACAGTTTTCTGCTTTTTAAGGTTTACAACTGTGATGAAACTAAAATATCACATGCGCAATCATACAGGAGAACGCCCCTACGTTTGTAATGTCTGCGGACGTGGTTTCACTGTGAATACCATACTCCTGCGGCACATGCGCGTTCACTCCGGCGAACGCCCATACGTATGCGTCACATGCGGCAAAGCTTTCTCGCAATCCAGCACGTTGAACACTCACATGAAAGTCCACGCCTCTCCAACACAGAAATATCAAGTCCCGCCTTTGATTATCCAAGCATCCACGCAACCACAACAACAGCATGCTGTAGCACAAGTTGCCCAACAACAATTACTCCTGGATAATGATCATCATGATCATGAACATTTACTTGGCGAATTCAAGATGGCCGACGACGCAGCGAAATTCATCGGTGATGATGCGATGATCAGCGACGCGAAATTCTTGAATAATTATGATCCGTATCATCGCGGACATCTTTAGCGAAAATATTCATAAATTTTTAAGTTATGATAATGTACTACTTAAAAACTTTCTTTTCACGCGCGCATGTAAATGATGTAAATACGCATTCGATGATTTTTCATGTAAAGTCACCATATAAGTATGTGTGGAAGAGTAGTGATTGTAAACAATGCCATATATAGAATATTGGGAGCTTTCACGACCGCTTCGAAAACAAATGAGGCGAGAAGAAGCGGATGGGATATGCCCACATGTATTAAAAACGAAAAAAACGCACAGCACTTAGGTCTAAATCGAGTTTTCGTCGCCTAAAGCGCGCACTTTAGCTTCATTACCGTCGGGAGTCTTACTGATAACGCATACCGGTCCTAAAACGCACTAATTGTCGTTTAAATTTAAACACGCAATCATTCCTTGAGTGCTACAATGAGAATTACCACGCAAAGTGTGCGGATTTTGATTTTATTTGGAATTGGTTTAATTATTGACACATTCCGTAAGTTTTTAACTAAAATTTTACTTGTAAAACACTAAAAATTAATATTTTAGAATGGATATCAGCGTTGAGGATTGAACCGACTTGTGGAATGCGTAATAGTGATTATTTAAGTCGTATTGTTGGTGGCCAGGCAACTCTTCCAGGAGAATTTCCCTGGTTAACATCGATACAACTGCGGCAACAGAGAGGATATCGCCATTTGTGTGGTGGTGCACTGGTTGCCAACAAATGGGTGCTTACAGCCGCGCATTGTGTGCGGGATTTGGAACCGAAGAACATTTCGGTTGTTACTGGGGATTATAATCTGTTCAGGGCCGAGGGGTTTGAACAGCGCAGGCGCGTACGAAGATTTGTTTCGAGGAATTTCGATATTGCGACGTTTGAGAATGATATTATCTTGTTGGAGATGGATAAACCTATTGTGTTCAACAATCGGACTGGGATTATATGCATACCTAATGCTGATGATGTTTTTGAAGGTAAATTTTGCATAAAATGTGTTTTTTAATGTGTGGAGGAAAGTAAAAGTGCCGTGAAGCTTTTTTAAAACGTATTTTAACAGATTTTCATTTTTGAGAACGCGTTTGAGTCATTATTTGCGTTTATTTAAGTAAAAGGAGTATTTAAAGATGTAAAACGTGTTTAAAACTAAATATTCATTGTTATTTCACGTAATATCATTTATTTTTGAGGAATTTCGCAGTTTTGAAAGGACTTGAATCAATTTTATTAGAAAATCAAAAAAATTTAAGATTTTACGCGGATAGGCAACTTGTTAATCTTTTATAAGCCACATAATTACTACAAATGAAAACAATTTCCATCATTTCACAGAAAAAATTAATATAAACCAACTTTTCTTCATTATTTGTGTTTATTTAAGTTAAGTCAGTATTTTAAGATGTAAAATGTGTTCAATACTAAATATTCATTGTTATTTCTCGTAATATCATTTATTTTTGAGGAGTTTCGCAGTTTTAGAAGGATTTGAATCTATTTTAATAGAAAATCAAAAAATATAAGGATTTTACGCGGATAGGCAACTGTTTAATCTTTTATAAGCCTCATAATTACTAGAAATTAAAACAATTTTCATCATTTCACAGAAAAAATTAATATAAACCAAATTTTCTTCCTAGATGTTGGTCTGGTAGCTGGCTGGGGTCGATTACACGAAGACACCATCAACACAGACACCCCACATCATGTGAATCTCCCAATAATCGAGAAATCCATCTGTGATGAACCCTACAAGAAGATAGGCTTCGCCGGTAAGTTAAACAAGTGCCAAATCTGTGCCGGTTACCTTTCCGGTGGTAAAGATGCATGCCAGGGTGATTCCGGTGGCCCTCTTGTATGTCGCAATGGTGACATGCACTTTATTTGTGGGATTGTGAGCTGGGGAATTGGATGTGCACGATCTGCATATCCAGGTGTTTATACAAAAGTATCTTGTTTCTCCGAATGGATAAAAAACGTGATCAAAACGTAATTTGATGCATATAATTGTAATTTAATATTTTTTACATGTTTATTTATGATATTTTATTGATAAATAATTGTATTATGTGTATACTGCTGGTGATTAGAAGTCGCTGACTCGTCCTTTACGCTCCCAGTCGCCATATCGCGTCGGTTCTGGCCCGGCGGGTCCCCCAATTTCGCCGGTGACAGGGTTTACACCACCCGGGTGTTTCTCGAGAGGTTCTAGTTCTTCATAGGCTGCAGCATTGCTGTGTTCCAGGCCTTCGATGTTTGGTTTTTCGCGGAGTTTCTTGCGGAATTCTTTCATGCGGTCGCTCTCTGGTTGTTTTTCAGATGAGGATGATCTGACAACATAATCTACTTCTTTTTTGTTATTAATTTATTATTTTATGGAGGTTTTATTATATTACCTGCTACTACTCTTGGTGCGTAAGGACTTTGGTGGATTGCATGCCGCAACATGTACATCATAATACTCATTTTTGATAGGAATTATTACAAACAAATGTTTGATTGTGAAACGTAACGATGATTTTGAATTATTTATGATTTTGTTCGCTTTTTGAGCAAATCATATAAACAGAACGTCACGGGGTAGAATTGTTTTATTTGTTGTTTAAATTGTTGTTAGTAATGTTGATAAATGTAAAGGTTATGAGTTTTTGAAATTGCACATATGATTAATATTAGTGTACATAAAATAATGTAGAGGGCGCGATGTGTACCGAAAGTTAAATTATTTTCAATTTTTTTCACTTTTCATGCAAGTAACACAATTTAAACACTAAAAGGATAAATTATTCTGTTTATTATTTTAATTATTGGTATTAAGCTTGATCTTAATTAGTTATACGACGCTTTTTAAATTGTTAAATATTATTATTTCTAGTTTACCTAAAATAATACAGATGGCGCGACATGTACCGAAAGTAACTTTATTTACGTATGTTTGTGTTTGTTTGCACTTATTTTATTTTATTACAAGCGATGACACACACTTCATCGTCTAATCTTGTGTTTTAACAAATTACGTGATAAAAGTGCCGAGAACAACACAATCATGTTCAGCAAGAAGAAACCAGACAAGCCTAAACCGCGACGAAATCAAGGAAATCTCTCCCAGGTACTTTTCTTTCTTTAACCTTATTTACCTTTCTAAAACAAACGAGAAACGGAAATTCCGTTAAATTAAAACCAACCATGATGACTCATTTTTATTTAAAATTCAGTACGGTCTCTTCGATGTACCCACAACGTTAGATTTCAACGATGACAACGAAGGAGATGACGACAACGACAGTGATCTGGAAGCAGAACTTGCTGCCTTGGCAGGAGGAGGAGGAAAACCCAAAAGACCAGCAAGAAAGCCTCAACCTGCAGTCAATCTAGATGCCATGGTGCAAGACAGTATGAGAGACATCCCTTCTGATGAAGAATTATCCGGGGATGATGATGATCCTGACTTATTGAATGAATTAAGTGAGATTACAGGAGATGCAGGTGAAGTTGAAGCAAGTCCACAGGAATCTCCAACAAAATCAACACCAGCAACAGTAGATGTAGGAAAATTATTGGATGAAAGAATGAAAATGTATGAATTAGCAGAGAAAAACGCTAAAGAAGCAGGGGAAACTTCCAGAGCAAGAAGATTCAACAGAGGATTGAAAACAATCAAAGATTTAATCAAACAGAACAATGCTGGGAGAGCTATTAATGATGAAGATATCCCACCGGCTGTTACTGTTAATATTCAAAAAAGAGATCCGCCATTAGAACCAGCACCATCAGAGGAAGTAGCAGTTGTAAATCCTCCACCTCGTGAAGAACCTGCAGAAGAATCAACTCCATCGCCTCAGGAAATGGTTTTATCTGAAGAGAAACAAAATTTATTAAAATTGTTAAACGAGCGTAAGAATCAATACAAAATGGCGGCGTTGGCAGCAAAAAAATCCGGTGATACACAAACAGCTGTAGGACATATAAAAATAGTCAAACAATTCGAAACTGTTATCAAAGCAGTGGAATCCGGACAAGAAGTTGATCTTTCCCGAATGCCTGGACCTCCTGTCAATGAAAAACCTAATATAGAAGAAGCACAACCTGTCCAACACGCAGAGGAACCCATGGCTGTACCTGAAGAAAGTCCAGAGGAAGCCCCACAGTTGATATCAGCTAATTCCGTAGGTGAAGCATTGGAACAACGTTTGGCTGTGTATAAAGAACAAGAAAACAACGCCAAGGAACAAGGTAATAGCAGTAAAGCACGCAGAATGGGTAGAATTGTAAAACAATTTGAACAAGCGATCAAAGCGCATAAAAGTGGTAAAAGTGTTGCGTTTGATGAGTTACCAACACCGCCGGGATATGCACCTATACCCGGAACAGAAAAACCTGTTGAAGCTTCACCAGTTGTTCCAAATCCAAATCCTGCTCCTGCTGTACCTAAACCTTCTCCACAATCACCACCGGCTAATTCCAGTTCCGGAACAACTCCACCTGCTGTCCCCGCTAGGACAAGAGCTGGTAATAAACAACCTACAACACGCATGGAAAAACAATTAACGTTGTTGAAACAACGCCAGAATGAGTTTAAAGTCGCTGCGTTGAATGCTAAGAAAAAGGGGGAGTTAAATGAAGCTAAGGAGTATTTAAGGACTGCGAAAGGGTTTGATCCATTGATTGAAGCTGCAGAAGGTGGTTTACCAGTTGATATTACATCTCTGCCTATTCCACCTATGGCTAAAGCACAATTAGATGTTGAGTAAGTAATATTTCATAATATTTTTCTATTTTCACGGTTTTGAGACACGAAAAATGATTTTTTAATCATAAATGGCTAGGGTTGTGACTAAAGTACTTTAGTCACGGGGTGGATCTTGCGCCTGCGCATTTGTCTTCGATGCAGCACGAGACAATATGAAATAAAATGCGTTATTATTAATATTTTTATTAATTTACTAATAATTTGTGTAAATTTTAATAGATATGAACTGGTTATGGCTGATGAATGCACAGAAGAAGATGACAGCGTGTTGGATGTAATTTCCAGGCTGGAATCGCAGTTAACAAAACAATTGAAGACTTGTTTGAGTACTCGTGATCACTTCAAAGCAATTGGTGATATTGCAGGCATGAATCGTTTCGAGCATCTCGCTTTAACAGTCACAAAAGATTTAGATGTTGTTAGAATAGCAAAAAGAACAAATAGTTCAGCAATTCCAAAATTCCACTATGAAAAGCGTGATTATTCGATTGTGAAGAGTTTTACAGACTTGAACGACAATGATTTGGAGTTATTAATCGCCAGGGGGATAAACTACAACTGTGCAAACCCAAAAGATATTGATACTTATGTTAAATTCGAATTTCCAAACCCAAATGTAAGTAATAACAAAAAAATTAATGTTTTTATTTAATTTTACTTTAAAAAACATAAATATTTTATTCCAGGATGAGATTTATCGTGATAAAACAGCTACGGTTAAAGACACAAACAATCCAGAGTATAATTCACAGTATTCTTTGTCTTTCCAACGTGGTGCACGTCCATGGATGCGAATATTCAAGCGACATGCGATTAAATTCGAGGTTTATTCCAAAGGGTAAGATTTTTTTAGTAAATTATTATGAAATGTGGAGTAGTGCACCCCATTTTAAAGTATTACATGTTAAATTCATGCTTTATATGTTGCAAAACATTGGTGGTGGCTAAAAATGTTCATTCTTGGTTCACGTCATCTCAAGAGCACTAATAAATGGCTGTGTGTGAGAGCTGAAGCGCACTTAGAGAAAATGGGGTGTGCTAGCTGTTTTGCTAGCGAGTGGGGTTGTTGTTTCAGTGGGTTCCTGCGCAGCGATACATTATTAGGCACTGTGACTGTTAAACTGCAACCATTGGAGACACAGTGTGAGATTCATGATAGTTTTGATGTAAGTTATTTTATTTTTTGTTTTTCTGTTGATTAATTTTTTTTGTTTATAGTTAATGGATGGTAGGAAGAAAGTCGGTGGAAAATTAGAAGTGCGTCTACGTTTGCGTGATCCACTGTTAAATCGAGAAGTACAACAGTTGTCTGAAAGATGGTTGGTTGTTGATAGTTAAAACTGCCTCAGGTAATTATTTAATAATATTCTGCGCCTTAATTGATTAAAAATTATGATATGAAGATATGAAGACTATGCAATTATTAATTAATGTAACAAATCCTTTGAATGGATGTAAATTGAACACAATAGTGTATAATTTTGCAAAACAATTGATAAATGTTATAATTATTGATTTTTAAGTTAATTTTACAGTAAACAGTAAGAAATCTAGTCTATTTTGACGTAAAAATTATTTTTGGTGCTTGAAATTATTTAGATTAAGATATTGCCAGCTTGTAAAGCAAAAAATATAAATTATATACACACAAAACACAACAGTTGGTGTTAAATGTTTGGTCTATTAAAAAAAAAACATCGAAAATACTCGTGACCTTAGCGAAGGTTTTTTTCAAAGTGTGAAATAACAGACTTCCTGAGTATCCTTGACACAGATTTTTATGTGCGTGGATATTTATCCTTGTTCTTGAACTATTTTTTAAGTTATATTGATTTTTGTTAGGTATTTTTAATACATACAACACGAACAGGGATCAAATTATAGTGTAATAACACATAATCAACTAAATTACAACTAAAAACCCATTGAGAACGAGGGGAGAAGACCTTAGGAAGCTGCGACTGGATTATTGGAGGACTCAGGCACGACTAAGCGTAGGGCCCACCACACGCAGCCCTTTTATACCCTCGGCCTACCTGCAAAAAGTGGTGGGGGAAGATTTTTTGACGCAAGCAAAGTACTTACACCTAATGAAGAACAGAGTACATTGGCCCAATAGTACCACAACTACTTTTAATCTCCTAAAACCACCGCTAGATGGCGCAATGTGTATTAAACCGAAGTTAAAATCAACTTTGTGAATAGAAATACCACACAATGCACAATGAAGTTATATGTTGATTCATAACGACCCGCACATTGTTCATATTTTTGTCACTGATCACAACGCGATCACGCTGCGAGCACCTGATAGAAGTCCAGCGTCCTTTGATCGCTTTGCACATTGACTTGAGTGAGTGCTATCAATTCCTGATGCTCATCACAGCGTGATGAAGCTGTGATTGATCAAAATTAAATTAATTTATAGCTTTTTAAATCTACGGCATTTAAATTTACGATTTGTGTATATTTATAGCACTTCTGAAAACAGGTCATTCGTCAGTACAATTAAAGATAACGCTGTTGCTGATTTTTTCATTTGTTAAATTAAACGGTAAACAGGAATTTTTCCACTTGAGATGCGGCGATGGCCTTGAGGTGTGTAGGAGTGCAAATAACATCAAAGTTGTGAAATTTCAAGTGTGCGTTGGTGGGTGTAAGCTTACGTTTCACGCTAGACGAGCCTTCGAGACGACTTTAAGTTGTTTTCCATCGATTGCAGCCACTCAAGGTGTATAAATAACTATTGTATGCATATTATTGTACTTATAAATTAACAATTTTAATCGTTGTAGATTTTAGCCCGTGGCGATGATTTAAAAATAGTTTTATACGCAATATTAATTGTGGGTAATGAAATGAATGATTCACGAGGATTGCATTGATTAGTTTGTGTGTTATCACAAATTTGAAGTAATAGAGGACTTAGTAATTTTTATTGTTTATGGAAATAGATGCGTAAAAGTTTCCACAAGGTTTGTTTACCTCGGTCAACTGATAAGGAGTGATTTGAAGTGGGTGATTGTTGAGTGTGCCCACAAATGACGAGCCTACTCATTAAAAAAACGCCAGCTATTGATAGCTCGTAAATTATGAGTCAATATTTGTGCAGGGATTACGTTTTAAGCATAGTTACCGGTATTTTATATACTTCTAATCTTTTTTTATGGTTTTATATTATATTTTAATTAAATCGTTAGGCATTTAAATTAAATTTGTAATTATGTTTGTAAATATTCATAGAAAATGATTTGTTTGGGTTTTTAATATGATTTTATTAGATTTTAGCGTCATCCTGGGGAGAACTGTAGAGTTATATTTAGATATTATTGTATTTGTTGCGTTAGATGTTTCATGCATGTTTATTCCGTGTGCGTGTAAAAATTGTCACATTCACATGGATATGGTTTAAGTGCGGGTAACTCGCACTGCTACAGGTGCAGCCTCACTGATACCAACAAACAAATTTACCTGCCGTGGTGAGACAGCGTTATGAGGCGTCTTCAATTGTACTTTTTAAAGATGTACTGGATGGCGTTGGGATGCATTTATTTGCATTTTATTTTTGTTTGTTGGTGTTAGTGGAGATAAAAGAATTAAATATAAGTGAATATCTCGTAAACTAAAAGTGATAGAAAGGAACGGATTGCAGATTCTTAATCTGTGGGATATTTTAGTTAGAAAAACGTAGTAAACTCGAGAAAATAAAATTTTAAAAAGTAATTTATAATGAAAAAATGCAATTTTTAAAAATTTATATTTTATAATGCTACATTTTCTTAATAATTTAATTTTAATTAAATATACGTTAAGAAAATATGAAAATAATGTCAATTTACGTAAAAGATTGTAAATCTAAACATTTTATAATACTACTTTCTATTCTTTGTCTTTGTTTACATATTTTTGTGCGTTGCTTCGTTTTATCAGTTTCCCCTCACACTACCCGATCGCCCGCGATCGCCGAGCGTGTTTCGGGTTGCAGTGGGGTGCGGGGTGTGGAGATTGGCAATCCTGCTACATCGCACGATTGCACTTGCGCAGCGTGCGCGAAAGAAAGTCATTCGGCTTGTTTCGTGCAATCGCATTTGTCTAGTCGCATCAGCGTTAAAAAATAACCGAAAATTCAACTACTGCACAGAAGAAGTGCTGTTACCAAGTGAAAATCATCTCACTAAACGAACATAAGTAAGTTTCTTTCATCACTCTACCTATTACATTAAATGTTGCTTGAATTCAAACGATTTTCGTTAGAATTGTATATTTTTGTATTATATGTGTAATTTTTAACGGTATCAGTTGTGTATTCACATCTCGCCTTCTTTTAACAGCATTTTGTGACTGTGCGTATGATTGAAACAAGTTTACTCGCTAGAAATGTACAAGTGAGATGCACTCTTATACTAGTTATGCATAGACATATGAAATCTGCGTGGAATGTTGTTTACGTCTTTTCGATTTCGGGTTTATTTATCAGTTCACCTCACACTACCCGATTGCCTAGTGCGCATGGCTGCGGGGTGAGAGGGAAGCGCAGCACTGCCTAATCGCACTCTTGCGCAGCGTCATGACTCCGCAGAGTCATTTAGATTTTTACTTTGCGTGCAGTTACAAGTCCGCTAATAAAATTCACGAATATTCACAAAATTTGCAATATAAGTGTCGCTACCAAGTGAAAATCATCGCACAAAGCAATTACAAGTAAGCCCCTTACGTTATATATACTTCATTGTTTACGGAAACATAATTTACATGATTGATTCAAAATTTGTACACGGCGTTCTTTTTGCGGTAATGGCGGCGCAACGGGTCTATTAGTCAACTCGAACAAAAGACAAAAAACCAAGTAGATTTCGTATACACTCGAACCACATCACACGTAGTATCAATACTTATGTCTAATTGGAATTCTCGTGAAATATCTCAAAATTTTTGCATAAACTTGTCGATTTATCAGTTTTGCATGCAAACGAAATTCGTTCGCTTGTGCGTGGTGTGATGCGGCTGCGGCGACCGCAGTTTCACCTTCGCGAAGTGTGCGCGGCCATCTTATCAGTTCGCTTGTTTACTTTACACATTTTTGTGGCGTTCACTTCGCATCAGAATAACGCCAATAGTAGGTACAGTTCAAGTAAAATAAAATAACATCGCGCGGAGTTGTTATTTTGATTTTAAGATATCACACATTCCAATACTTGTAAATCGTTGCAGTTTTATTTTGTTATGTTCATAAATGTCTCTTCCTCACTCTCTCTTTCTCCCTCTCCCTCTCTCCCATTGTGAATTAAGACATGGGCTTCCTCTTTTACACTTCATGTGACGCTGACGTCACAATAGACTTTTTAACTTTACATTTTTAGTTAAAATTTATTCTGTTTCAGATTTTCAGTTGGTTTCCTCTCCTCCAGGGTGATCGGATCAACCAAAGAGTAGTAGCAGGTTTGAAAATTAGTATTTGAATATTGTTTTGACTGATTATTCTTTCTGCTTGTCTTTCAGGTATTTATTCGATTTATTTGGGCATTTTTGTAATTCGGGCGCGTTCGTTTTCGGTTTATGTATTTCTTGTGTTTACTAATACCCTACCTAATTTTTTTTATTAATTACCTCTTATTATTTTAATTATTTTTATTTTTATTTTTATTTTTTATCCAATTTTGCATTATTTATTTATTTATAATTATTTTTTGCAATTCAAAGTAACAATTCCATTATTTCTCCTTACCTATTATTGTTAATAATTTTTTACATTCACAGGCATACGCGCTAAACGTTATTCGCGATTGACCTGGAGAGGTGTAACGAAATACTCATCGAGTGCGGGTCGCGACGCGTTTTAATTTAACCCATTTATAGAATCACGATCAATTAGCTACCGAAGGAGGGTCGTGCCATGTCCCCTTTCACCTGTTAGGGAAAGTACGCGGTGTTTATAAATATTTATCCGAATATTCGACAAATCGAGTGCGGGACGCGATTAAAAATCCGAAAGTATCGCGTAATCCGTACCGCTTTATTAAAGTCCGTGTTAAAGACAATAAAAGACATTCCAATTCCATGAGGGTTGAACGGGACACCTAGACACAACGACATAAATAAGGTAGATAAGGTGAAGACCTAAAAACTTTATAATTAGTAAATTAATTTTAATTTTTAATAATTTTCCATCTATTTTTCTACTTTTCATTGAAAAAAAAATACGATGATAAATTATTAAAATTAAAATTACTAGACATGCAAGTAAATTGCTTAATAGCTTAATGAATAAGTGCGAACGGCGCGCGTGGTTCTGATTGCTCGCGCGAGTTTCACGTGCATCGTACGTGCCCCACAATTGACGTCAACCTGCTCGCGACTGACTGGCAATAATATAATACATAATTACGAGCATACGCCACTGCCACTGCCCGCGAATCGAATCACGCGTGGAATATGTGTAAAGTATGTGTAAATAAAATATGTCTGTTACTACCGGTAACCAAGCAGAGTCAGTCAGTCGGGAGCAACAGACAGTCAGGCAAATAAATGTTCTGCTTCTGTTTGGAAAAACAAAAAAAGTTCAAATTTTGTGTGTAAGTACTTAGTACTTTACTCTGTGTAGGAGAAACAAAAATTGTACAGTTTCCGTTGCCATGGCAATAATATGGAATATAGTTGACTAGGTATTTACCCTTTGTTATTCGAGTTTTTTTTCTTAAAATATTTGCGATAGAGTTGATTTTACTGGATTGTTGTACTCACTGGGGTTGAACGAAAGCACCACGCGTAAGCTTTACTTCCCCCACCACTTGTTGAGGGTATAAAAGGGCAGCGCGTAGTGCGCTCTGCGCTCAGTCGCCCCTCAGTCACCCCAGTAATTCAGTCGTAGTTCTCAAGGTCAACTTTCTTTCCTTTCTCTTTTTTGTCTGCGCTTTGGTTCAGTTTTTCCTTTTGTCTCTCAGAGGGCTCTGAAAAGTCATAAATTGGTCATATTCATTGGTTTACAACTATTTTATCTTTCAACTGATAAATTTTCATAGTAATAATAGTAGTATCAGTAATTATTATTAAAAATTACTTATTTATTCCATAAACCTTTGTTGTACTTCAGGGATTTCCCGACTTTTCTTCTGATAGGCTTGTTTATACTTAAAAAATATTAAGAAAAGTTTAAGTAAACATTCGCTAAAAATACCACACGCATTTTCAGCCTTGGCGATTGTTTGTTTCTCGTCTGCCCGTCGCCGACCTGGGTGCGTTTCTCAATTACAACATTTTAAATTTATGAAAATGATGCAAAACTGGAAAAAACACAAAACTTACTCACATCTGCGTAATAATAATTATTCCTAATTATGTTTACGTATTTTCTATCACGTAGCACACGTAGTAGTAAAGTCCACACGGTAATTGTAATTTAAATTTCGTATAAACATAAATTCACGACGCACCAATACAATAGTTAATGCAAAACATAGCGCTAAAGTCATGCACATGCACTTTGAATCATTTTCAGTGCTTGAAAACCGAAGTAAAGTTCATTAAAAGCGTTTGTTTACGTAGTGTAGGCTTGAATATTTATTTACTGGCCTGAATAGTGCGCAATTAACGCCGAAACGAAATCGAAATCACAATGAAATCGAAACTGCGCATTCAATTCGTGTTTGCAGTCTTAAACAAACGTGATAAGGAGAAAATGATTCGACAGCAAACACACGCTGAATTTATTTAATTGTGTCGATTTATTTTTAAGTTTCAAATTCATAACCGTTGATTCATGGCATTTTTATGTTCTAGAAATGACTATTTTTAGTATAAACCGTACATGTGCGTGGAAAGTGTGTACTTAACCTCAAATATTATATAAATTATACGTAGGTACGTCTAGTAACCCAGTAAAAGTATTATTGTATTGTATTGTCGTTGGTGTGAATATTCGGCATTTGGATCCTGTGTAACTCGATTGCGTTTATTATTAGCGGGTACGAAGTCCACCAGCGCGCTCCTCATCGTCCTCATCGCCGTGCCAAAAATATTTGTCACACGCGTTGCACACCATTACTAGGACACACAGAACTTTTTCACTTTTTCGCGTTTTAACCTTAAATTCGTTGAAATATTTCACTGAACTTTGACGTCATGCTGTCAAAATACAATTTTGACATTGATGCAGTGTTGCCAGTTTTCTATTTCATAATTATGGCAACATTGTAAGTATAATATAATTTAAATTCATTTTCCTTTGTTTTGATCTAGGAAACTGCGTAGAAATTTAATTCATACAGCAAAATATTGCGATAAGAAGTGTAAAATTATAGAATAGATAGTGTTAATTAGTAAAAGTTAATAGTTTGAGTGCACGCGCTTCTATTTACATCCACATACTCGTACATAGTAGAAACTGAACGAATTCTGTTTACAATTTGATTAAATAATCAATTGATGCATTTCTATTTTCAACCACAGCTGGGAATTTCATAGATTTTGCTGTGACGTCATTATTTATTTAAAAAAAATTAAAAATTAATTTAATATTATGAAAAACAGGAAAACAAAATGGAAACATTGAAAGTAAAAGTTATAAGAGTTTAATAAACTGTAATTTAAATTAGTAATGCCTAAACAAACAAAATGCACAATCGCAGTGCAATAAACTATGTGTATGCACATTTTACTAGTTTACATGTAACATTTTAATCTAATTCACTTAAAACTCACTTTAGACATTTATTTAATGTGTTAAACGTGTCCCGAGAGAAAAATTGCCACGTGTGGCCAAAATAACGAGCCAAATTATGAAATAATCTCAGTTTTTCGTCATTCTAAGAATTACACGACGTTTCTCTGATGAATTTTTTGAAAATTATTACAAGTAACGCATTTCTTTATGTGTTGATGAGTTTGATAACAAGTTCAAACTGGATTTATCATTGCGAATAATTTACGGCCGACTGGTAGACGTGATGTTTTTTTCATGTGGTTTATTCAAACAGGTACGCGTGAGTGTGTGACTAGTTGAAACCGTTTAGACAATGAAACGTTTAGGAATCTTGAACTTTGATAAGTGTACTTTGAACTTACACCAACCGTGATTTCCTTAGAAATGAGATACATTTGTATAATTTACTAGCTGTTGCCCGCGACTTCGTTCCGGCAGTGTTTAATAAAAATATAATTCGTTTTTATTCTCTTGTTCTAGACATACTCGTAGTAAGAGTCAATTCTATCAATAAGATTAGCAATTTTAATTTAAAGATATTATGCATATAAAGTTTTGTCAATAATGCACTTCAGCGCGCCATCTCGAATTCAACCATTTAACTATAACTATGATTGAATCTCAATGTCGAATTTTATTCTTTAGAAAAGAGCTGTTTTGAGGATTTTCCCGGCAATTATTCGAATTTTTCTCACCTTTTAAACCTTCCCTAGACCTCCACGAATAATTCAAGACCAAGATAAGATAAATCCGTTCAGCCGTTCTCGAGTTTTAGCGAGACTAACGAACAGCAATTCATTTATATATATATATATATATTAATATATAGATTAATTAATTTACGCGGTGTATGTTTTGTGTCGTCTGGGTGACAAATTGCATAGGCAACACAATATACACGTATGTGTAACCTATAAATTTCTTTTATTATATGACGTGTTGAGGTGTTGTAAGTTGTAAATTAAAAGTGGTGAAGACTGGTTTCACCCAAAATGTTATGTCGCACGTCATAGGTGTGGACGTAAAATGTAGTGGAAAGCAATTTTGCGAATGTCGATTGAATAGCGATATGTGTGTCGGTGTCGGTGTAGTAGGCAAGGATAAATTCATAATTCGAGGTGAGTCGCAAGTCAAAGTCTGATAGGAATTAATTCGCATCATAAAACATGCTTGCTGATACAAGTCTACACACAAAGTTGAATGTGTGGACGGAAAATGTCTCGTGTGGCAAAATTTGCATAACCTACAAATTTATCAACATGCGGCGCGCGCTGCGGTTAGGTTTTAGTGTTGTCAACTTTAATTGTTGATAACTCGAGGATTAGAAGTCATAGAAAGTTGATCTTAGTGTCATTTTAAAGAGAATTTAATTAAGGTTCTATGTTTTTAAAATAAATGTTGTGGGAGTTTTAGTTTTTGTGTAATTAATTAAAAACTAAATAAAAATAAAATTGCTTGTAACTTCTAAACTAAAAGAGATAAAAGCATTATTTTTGTTTTAAAAGGAAGGTATTAATGTGCACTATATAATTGGCTAATGATAAATTTAATAATTAGACTAATTAAGGTGTTTATTTTAAAAAAATTAGGAAAATTTAGTGTTGTCAACTTTAATTGTTGATAACTCGAGTAATAGAAGTCATAGAAAGTTGATGTTAGTGTCATTTTAAAGAGAATTTAATTTAGTTTTTATGTTTTTAAAATAAATTTGATGGGATTTATGGTTTTTGTATAGTGAGCAAAAAACTAAGTAAAAACAAAAATGCTTGTAACTTCTAAACTAAAAGAGATAAAAAGATTATTTTTATTTTAAAAGGAAGGCATTAATGTGCACTATATAATTGGCTAATGATAAATGTACTAATTAATTTAATTAAGGTGTTATTCAGAAAAAATGAGGAAAAATTAGGAAATTTTACATTTTTTAAGGAAAAAATCAAAGAATTTCATTTTATAAAAAGAAATAATTATTCAATTTATTTCTATATCGTATAAATAACTAGAACACAACATAATAAAAATTAATAATACAAAGGAGAAGCTAAACTCGTACTTTATATGAAAAATAAATATTTGATAATATGTTTCCATCACAATATTTTTAACAAAATTATCAATAATAAATGTAGTTGAACATGATTCTACAAATGAATATATGCAATCACAGACAATTTCCTCCATCTTCATTACAATCGAATCGAATCAGTCAAGTCAGTCCATTAAAGCTTTGCATCACTGTGCATATACAGTATTTCATTAACTATCACCAACCCTTTAACTGATTGCGAGTAAATGTGGTACCACCATGGGCACGGGTTTAATCGGTCTTGGTGCAACCCCAGCACCCACACCTAGCGCCCTAGTGGAAGTAGTAACAACACCGCGTTCCTTCGCATGTCGTTTCTCATGTTTAGCAAGGTGATCCGACCTCATGAAACACTTATCACACATGGTACACTTAAACTTCTTCTCTCCGGTGTGTGTACGCTTGTGCCTCGAGAGTTCATCACTGCGTGAAAACCTCCTTCCGCAATCCTCCCAGCTGCATTCGAATGGTCTCTCACCAGTATGCGTGCGTTTGTGGGCTTTCAAATGCGATGACTTGAAGTAGGTCTTTGAGCATCCATCATGATCACATTTAAAAACACGATTTCTAGTAGGTGGCGCTGCTGGTGCGGCTTGGACTGGTGATGAGAGTATGACGAATCTTGTTGGGATGATTGTACCATCATCCGCAACAGTAGAGAGGAAGATATTAGGACCTAGGACTTTAGGGGCAATTGGGATCTGTGAAGAGGGTTTTATTTGAGTTTGATAGGAGATGGTTTGGATAGGGATTTGAGTTACTACTGCAGGTGGTGGGGGTAGTGGTATGATAGGCACTTGTACTTGTGAAGGTTGTGGTTGTAGTTGTTGTTGTGGTGTGGAGGGCACAGGAGTGGTTGTAATGTTGGGGCGGTTATCACGTTTGCCCATTTTGTATTTAATAGACCGCACTAAGTTCATTTCGGGTTCCTGGATGACCGGCGTACATATTCCTTGTTTGTTGGCGTGCATTATCACCGACACAGCTTCCGCTTGCACAATTGGTGGAGGCGCCGGTGCGGGTATCCTCTTCGCCTCGTACATTGTATTAGAAATAAACCGTTTGGGTTCCGGATAAAACTCCTCACATTCCGAATCGGAGGGTTGTGGTGTTGGTGGTAGAATTGGTGTGGCACTACGCTTAGTTCCACGCATGAATTCTCCATCACTTCCGTTGGAACTTTCACAAAAACCCTGTGAAATACAAAAAAATAAAAATTAGTATTTTTGATAAAATAATTCAAAATTTTCAACTATTACCTCTTTGGGAATAAGTGGAGGTGTTGCCGGTGGCGACAATGGACGTGTCTGATGCTCGACAAACATCTTGTATGTATTTATGTATTTATTGCGATGATAAAGAGCGAAAAACTTTCAAAACAAACGCGCGTTTCCCTGCAACGAACCGCACAGACCCAACGCTCGTGAACGAATGAAGTGCGTGTGGATCAGTGTGGAACTGTGTGCCCACGAAGGAAAGTGTGGCCGGTCGGTGCCTGCCGTATTTTTAGCCAATCACCATCGGGGGCTCGTCGCTACCGACGAATCGTTGGCGTTGTGATCAGCCGGCGAGCGCGTGATCCCATGCAAGTTGTTCACGTGCACAGCGGCTGATCTTGGCGGTCTCGGCCGTGATGTTTACGTCATCGAGCGTGGTCGCGGTGTGGCAACGTCACGCCGAGCCCGTGCACGCGTACACACACTGCGGATCGATGTCGCACACCCACTCGACACCCATTTCTTCTCGAAATACGCAAATCTCGACAATTACCATCGAAATATCACGAAAAATCACTAAAAATCACTGTTTTCTTTCATTTTGCTAAAGAAATTCGTAGAATAACTGCGCATTTATCTCGTAAGTTGAATTTGTGCATGAGACGCCGCTGTGTCTACTGATTAGACCAACACAACACGCCTAGGTCAATTCGGGCCGTGGCTAAAAATAATACGGTACCCAGGAAAAAATTAAAAGTCCACTATCGGTTAATGTACGCATTGGAAAAATTGTACATTTAAATTCGTCGATTTCATTCATCGTTTGTTTACGCATCCGTAGACCGCGTATAGACCATCGTAGATTATATTAATATTATTGCTTGTGGTGTGTGTGGTTGTTGTAGTGTAGTGTGTTTACTACGCACGTAGTGTGGAGGCACGACCTAAGTGTGATCAGTGGGCATGATTGTGCATTCACTGTGCACGCAGTAGTCACGTGAACTTTCAAAAGCGTTCAATTGTATACGTCATGTCATAGTATATCAAACTAGTTGTTATTTTTGTCTATAGAAGGCGCTAGCTGTATTGTAGGGACAATTTAGCTGTAAAGTAGGTTGTTTTTACGGTAGCAGAAAATGATAATTGCACTTTGTGTAGGGGAAATGTTAAGTTTTGTGTTTTGGTTCATAGAGGGCGCTAGTGGTATTGCGGAGATAATTTAAGTGTGAAGTAGTGCAGTTACGGTAGCAGAAAGCGATAATCACGATTTTCCTATGGGTAATACTGTACTTTTATCTTTTGGTGGATAGAGGGCGCAACCGGTTCAATAGGAACAAATTATTTTAGCGTAGTTTCTAAATAGATGGCAGTAGTTTCACTGAAAAGTAGTAAATTTAAACATTTTACAGAATTAAACAAGTTTAAACTAGTTTTAGCAACAAAATTACACATAAATCATCAAAATTTAACTTTTGCAGTATTTCATTACTTATTTTACCAGATTTATCAAAAAAATTATAAATTTAAAGATTTTTAAAGATTTCTTTAAACATATAACAATAGCAGGTAATAATTATGTATTCTATGGCATTGGATGTGATTTGTGATGTTTCTGATGAATGCAGGCGTCGTTCGCGCTATCCGATGGCTAGAAAAGTGCGCGCGCGCGCGCGATGCGCGGTTTGTCCTGCTGCTTGCTGCACAAGCACGCGGGCTGTTTACAAGAGCGAGTGACTCACTGTTGCCAGTCGCGCACCAACCGCAACCTGCTACTGACGCGTCGCCCACTACATTTCAAACGCGAGCGCGAGCCGCAACTTTACACGCGTGTTTCCCTCTTCACCGTGCTTGTCGTCGTCAAATAAAAGGGGTTGTAATAGCGCACGTGCGTTCACAGTGCCATCTGAAAGTTTTTAAAAAAATACTTGAAAACTTTTTCTTCAACTTTTGTTTTGTGTTTTTTTGCTTGTGTTTCGCAAAAAGTGTGTTTTTGGTTGGTTTTTGTTTGTGTCCGTTATTTTGTCGCATTCGCGATGTGCGTGGGCGCTTTTGGTTTGTTGTTTGGTTGCCGCTGAGAGTGTGGTTTTCATCCCGGCGAATATATTCTGGACGTTGCGATCCGGTTACTGGGGCAATGTCACGACGGAAACAGAGTAATCCCAAACCGCTTAAAAGTAAGTGTAATAATAAGTGCAGTACGTTTGTATTCGTGCACGCCGCCCGCCGCCTGTGGTGATAACGCACGTAATTGTTCCTTTATTGAACAGTTTTTGTTGTTCGTCCTGTTTATTGTTAGTTGTTTCGGTAGAATTTTATCGCAGCCCGCGCGCTGCTCGGTAGGCGTGCTATCGCGCCGCCGATAATGATAGCGATATTGATAACGCCGCGCGATAATGCCATGTCCAATGTTATCGCTCGCGGGCCCGTCCGTGCACTCCGTATCGGCGCTCGCTATCGCCACCGCGCACAATGTAACATAATGCCAGAAACAAATACGACACAATGCGCGCCACACGACAGAAAACAGAAAACAACACACACTCGAAAGAAAGCCACTACAACATAACCTAGACTGATATGTATGCTTGGTTGCATAAAAATCAACTACCCGTATCACATTCATGTGTTCTACTTGCATAATTATCACCCGGTGATAATAATAGAAATAAAATTTATTTATTTTAAGCACGCCGAGTGATAAAATCAAATCCAAATCCGCCGAGATGTTTAATATCTCTCTCTCTCTCTCTGTGTGCTGCGTCCGTCAGCCATCAAGTTTGTAATATGTAAAACTGTAAAAGGAAGGACTTTGATTCGGCCGCGATAAGATTAACATGCACTTTGCTCTCCGCGGCGCATATCGGCGAACGCGATACGAAGCGGCGAAACAATATCACGTCCTCATATCCTTCTAAGTAATCTAAATTTTAATGCGCGCGCGGAAACGTTGGCCCGCCGTCCTCTCTGCTATCGTATTATTTTTTGTCTGCGCCATTGTTTATGTTGGTAGGCAATGATAAGCCACCGATTTGGTTAAATGTCATTCGGAATATCTGATTATTAAGTGTTGTGTGAGGGGGCAAAAAATATCGAAATAAAAGTTTATATCGGCTGCGATATCTGGCGGCGTATCGGAATAATATTTAAGTGTATAAGTGTGTCCGTTCTGCTATCGCCAGACACAAATGTATCTGGTTGGCGCGGGCAGCTAGCAGCGCGCCTAGCTTTCAAATCATTAAAAAAGAATTTCTGACGGTACGATAACCCGAAAATAGATTAACAATCCACTATGTTGAGAGGGAGATTTTTTTTTAATTTTTGCTTTAAAAAATGATGAGAAACAGAAAAATTCTGAGTGTTGGTAGTAAAAATGTGAATTTTTAGTTTAATACCGGTATTTTTTTAGGCAAAATACCGGTATACCGGTATTTATAGAATTAATTATTTCATTTATGTATACCGGTATTTATTAGAAGTAAATTTTTATTGAAAAATACCGGTTTTTGAAAATAAAAATACCGGTATACCGGTATATATCACAAATATGTACTATCATAATAAAAAATATCAGTTTTTTAAGTAAAAAATACCGGTATACCGATATTAATACCCGCATTTTACTCCCCCTGGTGTCTAGAATTGAAAAATATTCACCCTATGCAACCAAACATGCATTCTTTCATATTTACCGTTGTTATGACAACACTACGCAAGAATGACTAAAACATTTCCTACATTATTGATGTGTAGATGTATGTTTTATGTCTGACTATAAATGCGTCAATCAAAGTAAGCAGAGATACTGCTGGTACTCGTACATGTGTTTTCTGTTCTGTTAGGTTCGCTTTCTGCGAATTTGAAATATGCGATTATAAATCTATTGCGCGCCTGATTAATGCCGAATCAATGTCGACCGTTAAAATAAAGTAGTAGTTATTATTATTTTGATTCGCCGGCGATAAATGGTAGTTGAAGTGGTGATATTTCTATATCCGCTAATGGAGTTTTATAGTCGAACATAAGCGCTAATTTGTTGAATGTGATGCTCGGATGTAATCTGTCGGCCGGGGCCGTCAATTAAACAATTTGTGGTTTTATGTGAATTCAGGCCGGAAGCGGCACGAACACTGTCACGCATTTATTTTATTTAAATTTCACGCCCAAACAATGTGATATTGAGCAATTATTTTTCTAGAAATAATAACAGCACCGGATTAATTAATTTAAAAAATAAAATTTTATTAAACATTTAGGTAATTTCATTTTTATTGATTAAAATGCTTAAAATTTTATTTTTTATTGTTTAAAAATTTATTTTTTTAATTTAGTACGGTCCTGTATAGTTTTATTTTTCTAGAAATAATATCAGGACCGTATTTATTTAAAAAATATTAAATTTTAATCGTTTTTATTTATTTTTATTTAAAATTTAATTTTTTTATTTTGAAAAATTTTATTTTTAAAATTTATTCCGGTTCTGTTCAGTTTAGAACGTTGTTAATCCACATATCAATATGAAAATCGTCGCGACACGTACCACCATTATCGGTTCCTGTCAATCTGCGACTAAAAATGCATCAGTTAACCTCGCAGCCCAACAACAGCGCTTTTACGATCAATCTAATTGAGCAACCCGGCGCGCAATTGCAGCGCTAACTGCTCTCGATCATCTCTTTTTTACCTGGGCGTTAAATGTGTGCGTGCGTCCAGCATCCCACACCACACGTAGACCCAGGCATTAGATTTAGATTTGAATGCCAAAATAATGACGACGGGAATGATTGATAACCTTTATTTTACAGTAGCTATTATTTTCGATATAACTATTATAGAGTGATGAAAATATTTAAAATTTTAGAGTTTAGATAAGAGAATTAGTCATGGTTTTTGGTTGTTAATGAATACTGTGAAATATTGTGAGCATGTGACGGGATATAGACGTGGATCACGTCCTGTTGTTTTCTATTTCTTTGGGTTTCTTTGAATTTTGTTGATTGTGAGTGAATGACACGTGAATGTGAATCAAGTAGTTATTCATTGATTACTCGATAACTATTTGAGTTAAAGTTGTGGTTCTTTTACTAATCTATTCATATTTAAATTCTACGTTTTTGTATATAATTTATTTGTTAATAGAATTTTTATTTTAAAAGTTATTAACAATAAAAGTTGGGTTTTATGAAAAAAATATGTAAAATGTATTTAAATTGTTTATATCTTTTGATTTATTACTAATATCAGTACAATTTTTATATAGTTTACGTAGAATTTAATACTAAATAGATTAGTGAAGAAATCATATAAATTGGTTGATTGGTTTTCAAGTAATTATTAATTTAAACAATAGATAATATTATTGTCTGTATATCACTAACTATAGTTATTTATTGATTACTCGATAACTATTTGCGCTATTGTTTTGATTTTTTTACCATTCGATTCATATTTAAATTCTACTTTTTGGTATATAAATAGTTTATCAATAAAATAATTATTTTAAAAGTTATTAACAATTAAACTTCGATTTTATGAAAAAATATATAAAAATTGACACAAAATTGTTTATAACTTTTGATTAAACATTAATACCATTATAATTTTTACACAATTTATACATAATTTAATACCAAATAGATTAGTAAATAAATCATAGAAATTCACCCATTAGTTTTCGAGTAATTAATAAATTAAACCATAGATAATATTACTATCTGTATAACATTAATTAAATAGCATGATATAAAATCGACTGGTAGGCGATATCTGCTGGGCATATTTATAACAGTGTCAAAACACAAATGAAATATCAAAATACAATCGAGGCGGCAGCGGTGGCGGCGTGGCGGCAGTCGCAGTTGACATGCAAAGATCATTAGAAATTCAAACGCAATAGACTCACTCAAACCGCTCGTATTTTCCTGCGTTGTTGCGCGTCGATAATGTCGAACTGATAATATAACCGGCGACGATAACACGAATATCTACATAACATAATAATTATATCAACACCCTGTAGATAAATTTGTACAGACAAAGACATATTCCCAGCGCTGATAAAACATAAATATTAATAACGTATCGCATAAGTTTCGATAACGATTAATATTTTCTACTATACGCGCTGTGCGCCTACGATGTAATTTATAAATAATTAATTTCATTCCCAGCGCCGTGTGTATCGCCGTTTAATGGCTGCTGATTGTTGATAAAGATGGTGATGGCGCGATTTATCGAGTGAAAAACTAGCGTGTGTTGTTTTTATAAAATTATGCATGTGTCGATATTTCCGGGGTCGACATTTTATTTGAAAAAACCGGTTAACCGGTATTTTTAAAATTAAAATACCGAATACCGGTTTTTTAAATACAAATACCGGTATTTTTAGTGAGATTTTGTTTGAGATATACCAATATCAAAAAATTTATTTTTTAATATAAAATACCGGTTTTGAACTTAAAATTTACGTTTCTCGGTATTTTATTTTACAAAATGACTATATTATTCTAAGTGTGTGCCGTTAAAAAGGTAGTGTTTGCGGTGGGTGTCTTGTTGAATTTATTGAATTAGGTGTAAACGACGGGCCGCTCAGCGTGCCGCACGCGTCTGCACACATTAAACACGAATACATGTGTATGTGCAGACAGTATATATGTACCTGTTGGAGAGGAGCACGAGCAACAAGTGCCGAAGTGCCTAAAACTTGTACTTTTCAACTAAAGTAAACATTTGTAGAAGAAATTAAATACAAATAAGCTACTTTTTATTGGCGCAAAAAAATATTGGAACTTTGGGGCTTGTAACTTATTTGTTTATAATCATAGAAGGTTGAGTAAAGTGTCATTTGAAAGAGAATTTAAAGGAGATTTAGTGTGCTAAAGGAATAATTTTTAAGTTTAGTAGTTTTTGTGTAATTTAAGAAATAAGTAAATTTTTCATGTTTTTTGGATTTTTTTGTAATTTTAAGTAAAAATCGTTATAACTCGGAAACTATTGAAGATAAAACTTTGATTTTCGTTTTAATAGCAAGATATTTATTTGTTTTATAAGTGAGTTTTTGAATTATGAAATTTAAACCAACCAATTAGCTGTAATTAATGAAAAACTAAAAAATAATCGATCCAATTTGATTTATTTCCGTTTGTAAATTGATGATGGCTGTTTTATGGACGTGAGC